TATATGTTATACTTTGGATTATTAAAGCTTTTAGTCTACTATCCCATCATTCAAGGGTGGTTTTCACTATAAGTAATGTTGACGGACACTATAATTTACATTTTTTTACTATGTTCAATATGAATTTACTTTACAATAAAAGAGTCTATATTGATTCTGACTTCTCTACATCCAACTCACAGGTTTATCATTGCTTTGAGAAAAAAGATTATTAATTTACCCCTTTTAGAAGTGAAGATATAGTCATTTGTTCTGGGAATATAATTTTTCGAGCCTGAGACCTGAAAAACAGGCTCGGGGCTTAACTGGTTTTAACTTATAGATCAAGACAGAGTAGGATCATTTTCTTATTGACCTCTATACAATGATCTGACGTCTTTTCGCCACCAGTAGAGCCTCCCCCTGTTGGCCAATAGAGATAATGCAACATAAGGCACTTCCGTATTGGCTTCACTTTTTAGGCCAGGAGGTTGTCACTTGATTCAAACAAGGTCAAGCAAAGCTTTTTAATAAAATACATTTTAAGAAATATATTTCAAATTGTATGTAATTGTTTAAGGTTGTATACGTTTATGCCTTAATCAGGTCAAAGACAACAAACGGAATGAATGTCATGAAACAATCTTGATGTATTTTTAATTGAGAGAAGCCCATTTGTCCCTTTGCCTGGGGGTGTGTCAGTGTTCATTGTTCTGTCAGGTGTATAAATGGCTATTCAGAGCTTATGGGCTTCTTGTAACTACCATTTGAAAAAAAAACTGACCAAGAAGTTTCCCTGCAGTCGGGAAGTCTGCTCTCCGCTGCTGAAAGGATTTTGTTAGAAACCTCTCAGGAGAACATTTGTTGAAAGCACTGGGTGTTTATTTTTTCTTGCCTTACATGAATGGCTGCTCTATACCTGCAGAACAAAAAAGAGTCTGCAGCTTCAGCTTGTACAGATGATGAGGAACAAGCCTTCCTGCTGTAAACCGGCTCTTGCTGTACACTGTTTCAATATCCACAGCTCGTCTTCTGTCTGAGTACAAATTCAGCATGACATATAAAACAGGACTAACTTGCACAGTGTTCAATCTAATTTAATCTGGAAAACACGTTTTGTAGGTTTGGAAGGATCTAGGATTTTATGGGATCACAGTTAAGAGTAAAACAAATACTTACAAAGCTATACCTTGACTGAGGAGATGCAGATGGGACACAAAGTTCAAACTGTAAACCAGGAATGTTCAATCACATTAAACGACATTAAAATAGAGAGAAACTAATCTGCAATGCTGTACTCAGGCCATGTTCTTTATGAGTTCAACTGTAAAAGCATTCACGTTACAATTCTGCTTCCTAAAGGCGCCCTTTTTTAGTTGCATTAGTGGCCTATAGGGATAGCAATGTTGAATGGTTCATTGGGGGCACCTTTGGTACATTCTTCTTTTTTTTGGATGTTTAGAAGCACTTTATTAATAAAATGTTGCTTTCTGGATGCACAATCTTTAAACATAACAGATTGATCCCTGTCTGCCTTAAGTACTTTTTAAGGGAAACTTAATTGCTTCCTGGATTGTGTTTACAGGCAAAGAAGTGCATGAAAAGCACCCTTTTTTAAAAGTTGTAATAACCACAAAAGGGACAGGACGTTTTATGTCCATTATGAGTAATGAAGGTTTTTTTGCAAATATGAAAACAATTTTTTATGATTGAGTCAGTCTATGCACTGGTTTAGTTAAGGCTTGTTGACATTTTTTTATTGTTTTTAATGTAATCACCAATAACTTCTTGTTTGTTCTCCCAAAGCAGTTTTTATGTCCCATATGTCTCATCGATGGTTCATGAAAGCCCCTGAGAGGAAAGTTACAGTATGACCGCTTTATGTCTGTGCATGTTCATGGATGTCTACGTTTCTCAGTCAAAGTGAGGATGAGTATATCTATATCTGTGGACCTGTTTCTGACAGAACACTGCTTCTCTCAGGCGGTGAATAGAGCAGACGTTCTTCTCACTGAGCAGAACTGGAAAACACAGCTGATAAAAGACAACATCCACCAGGCCGCTGCCTGCCTGCATTTACTCGACACCCAAAGTCATTAAACGCTGCATTTCTCACATAACTGCAGGGGTGTTGCACGTGCCTTCACCCTCTGAAAGAAGTCTTTGACATGCTTTATATGGCTTTCTGACACCAAACACACTGTGCTGCGCAGGTCACAGGACATGTTCACATGTAGTGTTAAACTAACTTAAAGTAGCCCCTTGATAAATGGAGTTTATTGAGTAACTGTTATAATTGACACCCTCTCTGGGCAGGTTTGTTTGTAGAGATTAAACTGAAAGAAATACTTCAGAGGTTTATTATTGCACCTGATTTCTCTAATAATTGTTGATGATGCAGAAACTATGAAATATCACCAGACTTTACTTTAATATCATAACCAGCCGTGACTGTTAAACAGAAGTGCACATATGAAGGAGAACGATATGAAGCACTTACTTGACCCTTATGGGGAAATGTCCACATGCCACACCTCACCATATACAAGCTAAGGGGTTGCCTCCACATGACTGTGTTCACATTTATCAGATGGGCAGTTTTAGAAACAAATTTGTGGTATAAACCCACCCAGGTCTTGCAGGGGCCCAGAGACCAGAGTCTGGAAAACTGCATTCATAATGAGCCTCCTTGTCCCAGTGTGACCTGCTGCTGTAAGTCACAGAGAGAGTACCACCCCTGACTTTGGCTAATGGAGGCCATATGAGGGTGGGGGGCAGCAGAGGGCCCCCTCCTCACAGAGGCTCTTTGTGGCAGGAGCTGCAAGGAGAATACGGGGATAGTTAAGATAAATCTGGCAGAAAATCTGACAATCTAAACTGGATTTAAAAGTATATGTAGACTGAGGTGATGCAGCACAAAAACCATGTTTGAAAACCAACACTTATATACTGGCAATATTTGTCCAAGTGGGTGCACCCTCTCTGCACCGTGTTAAGTGCGATTATAGAAGAGCCTTGTTTAGCACTTAGCTGTTTATAAAATGATCTTTTCATAAACAGCATAGCGGCCCACTATGACCACATCTGGCCTGCACACAGGTATGTCAAGCTCAGAGGCGCTGACGTCAATGTTGGCCTTACATCCACATTAGTTTGCTCTGCTGACTCTCTGTTGAAGAAGAGGAGGGTCACCTATTAACAAATGCTGAGTTTGAGAAGGAACAAACTCCTGTTGTTGGAGTTATGCAAAACCTTACAATCATTGAAGTATACCACCAGAAAGGGTCATAGTTGCTGCAAATGCTTTCAAGCTAAAGCAATGTTTGCTGGGGGTTTTTCTGGTAATATGGCATAAGAAGTTATTGGATTTAAGTAAATCCAAGAAAAAAAAAAGGTTTAAAAAAGTGTTAGCTTCAAAAAGAAATGTTTAAAGAAAAATACTATTCTGATTCTAGAATCAAAATCAAGTTTATTGCCAGGTACGTTTACACATACAAGGAATTAGATTTGATGTCTGGTGAACAGATGAACATAAACATCCAAGAAAATAAGTTGCAATAGTAGGTCAAGAATATAAAGATAATAAAAATAAGTATGTTTAAGAAACTATTTAGCATTAAAAAAGAGTAATAAAGACAAGTATTAACACCAAATTGAAATTGAAATATACAAAGAACCTTAAAAGCTAAACAACTAAAACACTTAGGACAATGAATATATGGCAATATACTGTATAGCAAACTGCCGATAATTATATATTAGTAGTAACATCTTAAACTTCTGCATTCAAAATCGTACTTATTGTAATAAAATACAGAAGTTTTTGCACCAAAATATACCGCAAGTACCAAAAGTCACAATACTTCATATGTGTAAAGAGTCATTTCAGGATCATATATATAAAATTGCTGGGTTATGATTATTGATCTCTTAATGTTCATCACAGCTCTTTAACAGTGGAGCTGATTTAAAGCACTTTGCATATTGCTGATGGGTATCTTAAGTTATGAGTATACAACAATTTGTTTATTTATAAGTTGATTGATATTTAGTAATAGCTAATAACCTAAATTTGTAAAGTAACTAAAGCTGCCAGATAAATGTAGTGGAGTAAAAAGTTAAATATTGGATACAAAAATGTAGTGGAGTAGAAAAATAAAGAAGCATAGAGTTAAAACACTCAAGAAAAGATTAAGTACCTCAAGAAGTACAGTACTTGAGTAAATGTACTTTATTACATTGAAGAAGAAGAAGATTCAACTTATTGTCATTACGTAGTACAGGCACTATGTAACGAAAGGGTTTCTCTGCATTTGACCCATCCTAGTGTTAGGAGCAGTGGGCTGCCATCATGTCCGGCGCCCAGGGAGCAGTGTAGGGAATGGTGCCTTGCTCAGGGACACCTTGGTAGCACTTGGTCTTTCTGGGACTTGAACTGGTGACCTTCCAGTTGCCAAGCCAAGTCCCTATGGACTTCGCCACCACCGCCCTTTACTAATCACTTTATTGTTGCTGCTGTTAAAGTTAAATCTTATTTGAATAACTTTATGGGTAGTTAAAAAAGGGTTAAAACAAATGTACAGTATATTAATCTGAATAATACATCATGTTTATTTTATATACATGTTTTGATTATATCTAAATTTGCAAAATAACGTAAATAATAAAATTATAGTAGGCTATAGTTATATAGGTAATTAAGTTAAGTGAACCAAAACAAATCACTGTTGTGTTTGAATAAAAGGCTTGTTTATGAGTTTTAGTGGAGACTGAACAAGTTATTCCTTCACACTTTATATTAAAACTGATTATTGTCTCACTTTTAACACTAGAGGCCGCTAATGCTCCTCTTCTCCTCGGAAATGTTTCTCGTGCGGTGAGACTTTGGTCGTTGCTTATTGGCCCATGTGTTTTTTCTGGTTTGCAGCTCTGGTTTGCAGTTACGCCTTCATTGAGTCGTCCTTTTCTCCCATTGGTTGTATCAAACGTCACTCAACATTGCGTCAATCTGGAGAAAATAAGATTGGTTTAACATGCAAACTGTCAAGAGTAAAGGAAGCGATCTAGTGGCAGCGATGCAAACCTTCCAGCCACACTGTGAGTTCATTATTTAATGTCACTCGCTGGTTAAAGAAATAATTTGTACACGCTTATACTCCTTAGCGTTTACATTATTTATCGCACAGACATTGGTTATTTGCTTCAAATGTGGACAAAATGTCACTTGAATACTTGTTTACATTGCCGACCGTTCGGGGTACTACTTAGCTCAATGCTAACATTAGCCACTGTTTGCTAAATGTGTTTCGCACTGCTAACATTAACAAGAGCTAACACAAAATAACGTTATTATTGAGTTTGACTAACTGTGGTGTGCAGTTATTATTGGTTTTTATACACGAATATCCTCATTACATTTTCTTTATTATTTTGGTCAGGCTAACGTTCCAACAAATCTGCGTGTACCTTTTGTAGCATCCATCTGCTAACTTATATAATTGCACATAATGGGTCAATTGCTGTAATGTAGCGATGTAACGGTAACAACTACAGTCTGTGGTATAGGTTGACGTTAACCATCCTGCAGGCGCCTGGGTATTTTTAGTTCAATTTACCATCACGTCTTGTAATACATTCATGCAGTTAAACCTGTCAGTCGGGACATCAGGTGCAACAACTTTTATTTCAGAAGTAGCGTAATGAAAAGCACATGCTTACTGTACTGCAGGTCCAAAGCAAATATGTTATACATATGTAGATGTTCTAAGCCTCTTAATTAGCAATTCACTACCCCCTTTTTTACAAGCTTTTCATTCATTAGGATTTTCTGCTTCTCTTTTTACTGCGATTCTAAGACTATTATGTTTAGGACTGTTAGACCGGGAAACGAAGCATTACCAATACGTTTTCTGTAACAATAAACATTATATAGACCAATTTAATGCAAATAAATCCATATAAGAAAGACATTTTTGTTGCAAAACGATATTTGATTATATTTTTGAATGAATTAATCGGTTATAGGCATCAGTTGTCAAACATGTACAGTTTGTTGATGAGCTGAAACACTGCAAGGTGTAAAAGAATTGTGATGAGATCTTTTTCCCAACATATCCTCTTCAGTCTGTTTAGGTGTCATCATAGCAATAATTACCATCACGAAATGTGAAGCTATGTCTCCTTTACAAACTACAATTAAAGAAGGCTGCATAGATTCAGGCTGCACTGTCAGGGTTAGGTTTAAAGGCTGGAGCAGATCCGGGCAGTTTCTCTGTCTGAGCCTGCCTCCGTCCTCTGACACATCTGCTAAGCAAAAAAATGAGGAAAATCGAGCTCCAGATACTCTGGTGATTATTATTATTATGTGGTAGTTGACGTGATAGGAATGATGCAAACGCAGCGATGGCTCCATCTCATCGTCTAACTTGTAAACTGGAGTTTTAACATATTGTTGTATCCGCTTTAATGTAAAACAAGTATTAAGAATTCTTAAAAAAAGAATTACTTAGTGATTTGCTGATTAATGAATTGTTAAGCTATTTTTAAGAGCCAAAAGAACATCAAACATGTCTGGTTCCATCTCAAATTTAAACAATTCCCACTTAGTTTTTTATCATTTTTGTTTTTATATCAATTTAAGTCAGACATCTTTGGGTTTTAGACTGTTGGTTGAATAAAACAAGACATTTAAATGCATGAACTTGGGGTTAACGGAGGACATGCTCTGCTTTTTCAAGCTTTTCCAAGTTGACATAATGGGAATGCAGGTGTTTCACTCCACATTAGCAGTCTATAAAAGAAAAATATAGAATGTAAAATGCACAAAAAATGAGTCCCATTAACAAATGAGGACATGACCCCAGTGTCTTGAGCGGGGGCCATGGCCATGCTCAGAGCTTGAGTAAGTAAGTAGGTGTAATAGAAGAGATTAACTGTTACACTCGAGCTCTGAAACTCTAATCCACTTAGGCATGGAAGGAGTTTATTTGAAATCAACTGAGTGCCAAAGTGAGCGTCAGAATGAATTTCTGTATGTGGGTACCAGGCTAATGCTTAACAGCCACAGGCTCCTGCTTTCTGATGCATGTGCAAAGAGCTGACCAATATCAATCAATCATAATAACTTCTAACTATTTTTAAATACAAAGATAACTCCTGACACATATATTTTTCAAGAACAATTAAAATGTTGCACACAGCAGTAGACAGAATCACACAAAGGGTTCTTTAAACAGATCTTGGTTTGATTTTCTAACTGTTTTAATTATCCAAATATTGTCAAAAAATGTTGACAGTGACACATTTAAATTGCTTGTTTTTGTTTGACCAACATCCCAAAACCTCATTTACTGTTATAGAAAACACAACATTTGTTTTTTCCAAATCGTGCAACCATACTAGCATGTATGCTAAATATTGCATTCGTGCGTTACTATTATTTGTGAATCCCAAGAAGATTAGGGGAGTACTGCATCTTTAAGGTCACAGCGACCTTCGATTAAACAGGCAAAATCTGTGGAGGGAACTTTTGCAGAGCTTGTGTTCCCTCAGCTTGAGGTCCCTAAGGCTTTGGACAGTTACGTGTTTGTTTATTATCTCTTTTGGACCCCTTCTAGGCTGCTTATGCTCATAACAGTATTTTCCATGGCAGAGAGTCAACCTTGACCCTTGAGTGGCTGTGCCTCATGGGGAAGCGTCTTGTTGTTCAGATGGGTGTCTCATAGCGTGCCAGAGGGTAATGAGTATTTTGTGGTTGTTTGTGTACAGTACGACATGTGATGCGTTGCCTGGCCTGTCTCCATGGCTGGATCAGAGTAGATGCCCCTGCTGCTTTCTGCCCCAGACTGCAGCGTCAGGGCTTAATGTGTAAAAGTCGAGTAAGTGCTGGAGTTAATGATTGCTCAAGCACACGGCCAGTTCTGCTTGAAATGATAGTATACAGTATAGGCTGGGATTTGCTGTGCTAGACAATGTGTTCTTTTTTGTTGTTGTTAAAAGACAACAATTACACACACAGCGTGGCATCAATTAGGCTGTTGGAAAGCAAAAAAAGTGTTTAATCAGTGTTTTTAATCATTTCCATTTCATTAAAATTGAAAGAAACAATATAATTACATTTGTTAAACTTTGATGAGAATTCATCGTCCTTTTCATTCTACAAGTTGCAAGTTAGAAGTCTGACAAACATGATGACAAAGATACATACAGTAGTAGTGTATGCAAAACATTATACTTCATGAAGGTCTTTCCACAAACAGAATAAATGAATCCTTAAATTGTTTAAAGGATTTTACCTTTTAAAAATATATTTCATTTTTTCTTGTTGACCATTTTGGCGAATATCACTTGATATCAATATTGGACCGTCGCATGTCAAGTCCCATGCAAAAATGAACAAGCATGAATTGTGTGCAGTTTGATGTAAAGTATGATTATTGAAAGGGCTGCCCCGAACTAGTCGACTAAATGTTAGTCACCCACAACGTGTGTTTTATTTCTTCATTTTTCAACTGAGCAACTTTCATAGGAATGAACATTCCTCCTCCAATGCATTATCCAGATCTTCTTATACATCCATGAGTGCACTAACCCAAAGTATTAATCAACAACTTGAAGCAAAACGTGCATGAATAATTTGTAATGTTTTGTTTCTCTCGTAGGACTGTCTTTCATACAAATGGAGGCCAGGACTGTCATCAGATAAGCTGCAGCCTCCAAGTCACTAAAGACTCTTAGGAAACAGAAGCCAATCGAATGGGTTTTGAATCTGCTGAATACTAAATGAGAAACTTCCGTGACGCTATCATTGCAGAGGACTGACCATCACCATAGTTTCTCACAAAGCCTTTTTAGGTTTTGAAAGCCCCTCTTTTCAGTCTCATTCTGCTCCTCTGCCTCACACACCTTCATCCAGTGGCTCTGCTGTTCAGCCCACATACTGTAGAGAGGACCCTTCCCTCCGACCTGGCCCCACATCGGCGGCCAGCTCTGGCGGTGTGTTGGTGAACGATGGCGCGGTGGGAAGCTGAGGGCTGCCGCGGGGGACTGTGATGTCAGAGAACACCAGCCCGGGCGAGAGCCGGCGTGGCGCTCCCAGATTCTTCGTGGGCTGCGAGGAGGATGAAAGCGAGGTCCTGGACGATAGCGAGGTCCTGGACGAGAGCATGAGGACAGACATGGAGCTGTATGAGGACGACGAAGACTCAGACTCGGTGTGTGCATTACCCAAATCACAGTTCCAAATCCTCTTTAAAAAACCTCCATTTCACCATTTTGATATATTTTTCAATGATACTGTGAGTGTTTGAACAATTATCATTACCTCTAATATTGTTAATTATATTGCAATTTCAAAAATCATAAATTGAATCAGAATTTGTCTTTTCTTTTTCAAACCATGCTGTCCTTCTCTTTACTATAATATGTTTACCTAATGAGTTGGAGGACACTTCATCAGAAAATCGTCCGATATTTGAATAATACTTCCAGTTGATATGAACTCAAAATAATTTCTAAATGTTGTCCCAGCGTTGTGCTTCCAAAAGAGCTCAACAGATATGGTTCATGTTTGCCGGGTTTTTGACAAATGCACAGAAATGTATGAATTTTACAATATTTCAATTGTAATGTTGATGTGCTGTAACTGTAATCACACCACAACTTCCATCCTGCTCTGCTGTAGGTGATTATTTCTTGTTCTCAATTTGTTGTTATGCACATGAATATATGTCAGACAACTCAAAACAGATAATGTGTTTACTGTACTCACAGAGAATTTAGGAGAAATCTAGCTGGGGATATCGGGGGTTCTCTAATCCATTATCCAGATTGTGGTTTTAAGAAAACTTGGTTTACTGAGAAGAGCTGGTTGTGATTGTACTAAAGTGCAAAGACACTTAATGTGACTGTAAGAAACCAATAATAAGTCTTATTTCAAACTTGTTTAGTATTAGGCCACTTTTAGTTAACAAGGACATCTAAGGTAAATGAGTCAGCTTGATAGAAGTTAACAGAGGAGGACAGTTTCTGGTACTGGTTCTTTTTGTTTAAATCCCCTGAACAATGATTCCAAGCTGAGCCAATACTTTAAGGTGACGGTAATAGACTTAGACCACTGATTGGCCAGAGAGAATTGTCACTGGCGCGGCACGGGACATCCTGCACTAAACCGGCATTTTTAAATAGCAAACAAATCTCAATAGCAATTGCATTTTTTTGAATATGGCAGCTGGCTTTTCTATGCCATACACCATGCCTTACAATTGACAAAGTGCAAGTGTTCCTTCATTTAGTTGCTGATTTATTATAAGCCTTAATAAAACAAGGACCATGCATAACATTAAAAAGAGTGGAGATGATTTATGTAAGATTGAGATCATTTCCCTCTGCAGTCCCTAGTCAGAAACACGCATAACAATCAACAGACAATAAAAACATGATTTATTCTCTATCAAACTAACATTTGACCTTGTAAAGTATATAAATGCACCTCTCAAATGTGTTCAAATTGTGAGCTCTCGTGGTTAACTGGCAATTTTCAACGAATTCCTCTCTTTGAAGAGGAGACTGCACTGAAATCTATTTCAGTGCTTCAGCTTGAGGTTTTATGGGGTATTCATGGGACAACGCTGCCATTGTCTCTCTTGCTTCCTCAGACAGACAGTGTTGACATTTTCCCCTCTCCCTCTCTCTGCCTCGTCCAGCCCCCAGAGCAACAGATCGTGGTGGGGATCTGCTGCATGATGAAGAAGTCCAAGTCCAAGCCCATGACCCAGATCCTAGAGAGGTTGTGCAAGTTCGAGTTCATCACCGTGGTCATCTTCCCAGAGGAGGCCATCCTCAACGAGCCTGTGGACAAATGGCCTCTGTGCGATTGCCTCATCTCTTTCCACTCCAAGGGTACAAAACCAGACACAAACACACGTCTGCAAACATAGTACTTTTTCTGGGTATTTGTGTGTGTGTTTACTACAGATGTGATAGCAATGCCCACATTTGAAAGCTGGAGCATATGAAATAGCACAAATCTACACATGCATGCACGTCATATATTCTGAATGCTGTCCACTGGTGAACTAGAGGAATGACGGGGCAGTATCTGGTAGTGTGTGGGCGGGCATGTACCCACTATAGGTGTAGGATGCAGGCTAAATGTGTGGAACACAAGTTTCTGTGGTGGGAAAGATGATACTTCTTTTTTTATGTATTTATTGTATGCATTATACCACTATGTAGCGCAGACTCTATTGTTCACAAAAACATTGAGTTGCTTTAGAGGGAGCCTTCTAAATCCAAGTAACGGACAATCAGACAACCACTTAAAAGAGTAATTATAGCAAATGTAATTGATCTTGCAGCCCAATGTTACTGTACATACTGTATCTAAGCGACACTGCATTTTTATAAATGATGATAATCTGGTCATGGGTCACATCTCTCCAGACGCCTTTGCACACCTTCATCTCCTTGTACACATTGAAATAAAGTTACCTCCAGGAACAATTTTTCTTAGGTGAAATATTTGATTTATTTGTTTTGGCAGTGGCAGCAAAGATTTTGCCCAGAAAAAAGAACATTACCAGACAGCATTCACTGCTGTCTGTGTGACCACATGGGCTTCTTATCAACTGCCCAATCATTTACACACTAAACGGAGCCTGCCTGTCTTGTAATACAATGTCAGCATTATTTTTAGAATCATTCCCTCTCTCAATGTCAGTCTACAGCATGTCTAGTGTTTTCTCTTATGTCTCAATACTCAGAATTGTTTTTCCCTTATTACACATAACTGTCTACGCATATTATGACATTGTTTATTGAATCATTTTTCTCTGCATGTTCACCAGGATTCCCGCTGGATAAGGCGGTGAGCTATGCCAAACTGAGAAACCCTCTGCTCCTCAACGACCTGAACATGCAGTACTACATACAGGACAGGTACTCGGACATCCTGGAGTGGTTAACATCATCCAGGCAAAGCAAAGAGAGAACGAGAATACAAAACCCATAGTTCATTTATTCATGTTATAATTACTTTTTAACAGGAGAGAGGTGTATCGCATCCTGCAAGAGGAAGGGATTGACCTACCGCGCTATGCTGTGCTGAACCGCGACCCAGATAAACCAGATGGTCAGTCTTCTTTTTTTTACTTCACATCACATGGGAAAACGCAATAGAATGCACAAACTCCATGTACCCCATTTTTCATTTCATTTTTCAAGCGTTTTGTTCCTGCAGAAAAAGCTCTCCGAAAAACAGCCCCTTTCATTCTAGCATCTCGAGGTCATTAATCTAAGACTGCAATGGTTTTACTTCAGCATGTGGATAAATATAGTATCAAATGTGAAGCAGTTGCAAGTGTACCATTCTTTAGTGCTGTGATATGATGTGGTTGCCCTTTAAATCCTGTTTTAGCACTGTGAAAGCCCTTAGACTGGCCAGCAATCAGATGTTTAACCTTAAATGACTGTTTTTGTAAAAGCACCAATGAGCGTCACATAGTTCAGAGTGCAGAGCTGCTTCACACGGCCCAAGAGTAAACACTCAGGGGGGCGAGTGTCATCTGTGTGTATTTTAGGGGGTGATGAAAAGGGTCTTCCTGGTTTACAGAAAGATATTTCTCTGTGTGTTTCAGAGTGTAACCTGGTTGAGGGAGAAGACCACGTGGAGGTGAACGGAGAGATTTTTCAAAAGCCTTTTGTTGAGAAGCCCGTCTGCGCAGAGGACCACAACGTCTACATCTACTACCCCACCTCTGCTGGTGGAGGCAGCCAGAGACTCTTCAGAAAGGTGCTTGCATTGTCCCCCCTGGCTTGTTTTTTTTCACGTACACTTCAGTCAACACTTATTCAATCAAATAATCAATGGCAAAATGAGATGAAATTGGCATCAGATTATAAAAAAAGGATGTCCTGCAACAATCTAAAACTGTCAACATCAGATGAATGTTAATCCCTGTCAATCATCACTCATGACTCACTAGAAGTGTGTGTCTGTGTCTATCTTCAGAGACCTTGCGGTTGTCTGCCTTTATTTTCTTACATTGCTTTAAGTTACCATGAGTTCATTTTCAACCGTTCATGACCATTTTGGACATCAACCTCCTTTAAAAAAAAAAAAAAAAGTAGTGACAAGGTCCCAGATCGTGCCCAAGCATCCAAGAGGAAGCTGTGAAAGTGGCAGACACGATGTTGAAAAAATGCAAATATTGCGTGGCTAAACGCCAAGCAGAGAAAAGTAAATATCTGAAACAGGAAAACAATCTAGGGTTGGCTTTCACCCACTTCACAAGCAGCCTAGCCCTAGACCGACCAGAGCTGTGCATTTCTTGTGTCGGTTAATATTTTAGCCAAAACAAGAAGATCACTGTTACTTTTGCACACTTTCTTACAGTGACACAACATTGACTTGATAGGGGTTGTTTTAAATGAAAGTTTTAGAGGCCGACGGCTGGTTTTGGCATTTTTAATATACACATTATGTTTCATGTGTGTATAATAACAGCACCAGAACAGGGTTAAACACACCAGGCAGTAGTAGATGTAATAGCTCTTGTTGTAATGGTACATGAATCTATTGCTCTGCCAGAGAAAGAGTGTTATCATGCACGGAGCTGCAGCCTTTAATGATGGATGTTATCCAGACTGTTCCGAGTGCGCTGTGGTACTGGGTTGAAGCGGCTGTTTTTTCAGAATGATAACATGTTTCCCTCCTTGTGTGATTTGTGTAGATCGGCAGCCGCAGCAGTGTGTACTCGCCAGAGAGCAACGTGAGGAAGACGGGCTCGTACATCTATGAAGAGTTCATGCCAACAGATGGCACCGATGTTAAGGTATGGACTGAGGGTTGAATTTAAAAAAAGGAGAAAATAATTCAATTCTGAGATGCACATATTCTGAATCGTGAAGTGAAAGATCATATGGGCCCCTTTTTTTAAATCAAAGACTTTAATTCCATTTGAACTGTATGAAACTGCCCTTTAAATCATCAGTACAAAATATCTACAATATCTCTGGTTCTTCGATAAAAATGTGAAGGCTCCAAAGTTTTTATTTTTATTTGGTAAGATTAAAACTAAAATTAATTTGCTTCTGAATTCTAGGTTAATTTAGAGGAATTTAGCAGCTCACACAACAAACTCGCTACTGCTCTGAATTGCACGTCGGACTCACAATCTCTTCAAGTAAACCTAGCCCGGACTGATGAGTATTGTGGAATTTAGAGCCTTCCACCATGCCAAACTTGTATAGGAAACATTATTTCTCACAAACAAAATGGAAAATGTTCAAACTAGTGGTCATATCCTAAATCCCTTGGTTCTTATATTGCAACCAAGAGTCCCGGGAGGCCCGTGTTAAGTAACATTGGGGATATAATTCCTATAAACAGATTGTGGAATGTACTTCTGGAACCAGCTGCCCCTCACTTTCACAGCTCTTTTCTTTGTGTTATTGGACAATGATTTTAGTTGGTGCATCCCATTGAACTAAGTCTTTGATTGAGAGGTGGTGTTTCATGTGACCTCAGGTGTACACTGTGGGGCCCGACTATGCTCACGCTGAGGCCCGGAAGTCCCCCGCTCTGGACGGGAAGGTGGAGAGAGACAGTGAGGGGAAGGAGGTCCGCTACCCCGTCATGCTCTCAGCCATGGAGAAACTGGTGGCTCGTAAAGTCTGCCTAGCATTCAAGGTGAGAAAAGGCAATGTGTTAATAAACTCTTGCTTTCTCCTAGTTTGCTCTTTCCTTGATGCTGAACTGTGTTTTCCTCTCCTCTAACTGCAGCAAACTGTGTGTGGCTTCGATCTCCTCCGAGCCAACGGACACTCGTATGTGTGCGACGTCAACGGATTCAGCTTCGTGAAGAACTCGATGAAGTACTATGATGACTGCGCCAAGATCCTTGGGTACTGCCTTTATTTGTGTTCTTTACTTGTCAACTTAACTGTGTTCTGTTTGTTTGAGCTTGCTTTTGTTTATTTCTTACGGTGGCCCGGAAGTGCAAGACACCACAGCATTTCAGAAAACACAACAGCATTTCAGAAAACACCACAGCATTTCAGAAAACACTACAGCATTTCACAAAACGCCGCAGCATTTCAGAAAACACCACAGCATTTCACAAAACACAACAGCATTTCACAAAACGCCGCAGCATTTCACAAAACACCACAGCATTTCACAAAACACAACAGCATTTCACAAAACACAACAGCATTTCACAAAACGCCGCAGCATTTCACAAAACGCCGCAGCATTTCACAAAACACAACAGCATTTCACAAAACGCCGCAGCATTTCACAAAACGCCGCAGCATTTCACAAAACACAACAGCATTTCACAAAACACAACAGCATTTCACAAAACGCCGCAGCATTTCACAAAACGCCGCAGCATTTCAGAAAACGCCGCAGCATTTCAGAAAACGCCACAGCATTTCACAAAACACAACAGCATTTCAGAAAACACAACAGCATTTCAGAAAACGCCGCAGCATTTCAGAAAACGCCACAGCATTTCACAAAACACAACAGCATTTCAGAAAACACAACAGCATTTCACAAAACGCCGCAGCATTTCACAAAACGCCGCAGCATTTCAGAAAACACAACAGCATTTCAGAAAACACAACAGCATTTCACAAAACGCCGCAGCATTTCAGAAAACACAACAGCATTTCACAAAACACAACAGCATTTCACAAAACGCCGCAGCATTTCACAAAACACAACAGCATTTCAGAAAACACCACAGCATTTCACAAAACACAACAGCATTTCACAAAACGCCGCAGCATTTCACAAAACACAACAGCATTTCACAAAACGCCGCAGCATTTCACAAAACGCCGCAGCATTTCACAAAACACAACAGCATTTCACAAAACGCCGCAGCATTTCACAAAACACAACAGCATTTCAGAAAACGCCGCAGCATTTCACAAAACACAACAGCATTTCACAAAACGCCACAGCATTTCACAAAACACAACAGCATTTCACAAAATGCCGCAGCATTTCACAAAACGCCGCAGCATTTCAGAAAACGCCGCAGCATTTCACAAAACACAACACAACAGCATTTCACAAAACACAACAGCATTTCACAAAACGCCGCAGCATTTCAGAAAACACAACAGCATTTCAGAAAACACAACAGCATTTCACAAAACGCCGCAGCATTTCACAAAACACTACAGCATTTCAGAAAACGCCGCAGCATTTCACAAAACACAACACAACAGCATTTCACAAAACACAACAGCATTTCAGAAAACACAACAGCATTTCACAAAACACCACAGCATTTCACAAAACACAACAGCATTTCACAAAACGCCGCAGCATTTCACAAAACGCCGCAGCATTTCACAAAACACAACAGCATTTCACAAAACTCCACAGCATTTCACAAAACTCCACAGCATTTCACAAAACACAACAGCATTTCACAAAATGCCGCAGCATTTCACAAAACGCCGCAGCATTTCAGAAAACGCCGCAGCATTTCACAAAACACAACACAACAGCATTTCACAAAACACAACAGCATTTCACAAAACGCCGCAGCATTTCAGAAAACACAACAGCATTTCACAAAACGCCGCAGCATTTCACAAAACACTACAGCATTTCAGAAAACACAACAGCATTTCACAAAACGCCGCAGCATTTCACAAAACACAACACAACAGCATTTCACAAAACACAACAGCATTTCACAAAACACCACAGCATTTCAGAAAACACCACAGCATTTCAGAAAACGCCGCAGCATTTCACAAAACACAACACAACAGCATTTCACAAAACACAACAGCATTTCAGAAAACACAACAGCATTTCACAAAACACAACAGCATTTCAGAAAACACTACAGCATTTCAGAAAACACAACAGCATTTCACAAAACACAACAGCATTTCACAAAACACAACAGCATTTCAGAAAACACTACAGCATTTCAGAAAACACAACAGCATTTCACAAAACGCCGCAGCATTTCACAAAACGCCGCAGCATTTCACAAAACACAACAGCATTTCACAAAACGCCGCAGCATTTCACAAAACGCCGCAGCATTTCACAAAACACAACAGCATTTCACAAAACGCCGCAGCATTTCAGAAAACGCCGCAGCATTTCACAAAACGCCGCAGCATTTCACAAAACGCCGCAGCATTTCACAAAACACAACAGCATTTCACAAAACGCCACAGCATTTCAGAAAACACTACAGCATTTCACAAAACACAACAGCATTTCACAAAACGCCGCAGCATTTCACAAAACACAACAGCATTTCAGAAAACACTACAGCATTTCACAAAACACCACAGCATTTCAGAAAACACAACAGCATTTCACAAAACGCCACAGCATTTCACAAAACACTACAGCATTTCACAAAACACAACAGCATTTCACAAAACGCCGCAGCATTTCACAAAACACAACAGCATTTCACAAAACACAACAGCATTTCACAAAACGCCGCAGCATTTCACAAAACACCACAGCATTTCACAAAACACCACAGCATTTCACAAAACACCACAGCATTTCACAAAACACAACAGCATTTCACAAAACACAACAGCATTTCACAAAACACAACAGCATTTCACAAAACACCACAGCATTTCAGAAAACACAACAGCATTTCAGAAAACACAACAGCATTTCACAAAACGCCGCAGCATTTCAGAAAACACAACAGCATTTCACAAAACGCCACAGCATTTCACAAAACACAACAGCATTTCAGAAAACACTACAGCATTTCACAAAACACAACAGCATTTCAGAAAACACTACAGCATTTCACAAAACACAACAGCATTTCACAAAACGCCACAGCATTTCACAAAACGCCGCAGCATTTCACAAAACGCCACAGCATTTCACAAAACGCCGCAGCATTTCACAAAACGCCGCAGCATTTCACAAAACGCCACAGCATTTCACAAAACACCACAGCATTTCAGAAAACACTACAGCATTTCACAAAACACCACAGCATTTCACAAAACACCACAGCATTTCACAAAACACAACAGCATTTCAGAAAACACTACAGCATTTCAGAAAACACAACAGCATTTCACAAAACACAACAGCATTTCAGAAAACACAACAGCATTTCAGAAAACACAACAGCATTTCAGAAAACACAACAGCATTTCACAAAACGCCACAGCATTTCACAAAACACAACAGCATTTCACAAAACACAACAGCATTTCACAAAACGCCGCAGCATTTCAGAAAACACAACAGCATTTCAGAAAACACAACAGCATTTCAGAAAACACAACAGCATTTCACAAAATGCCGCAGCATCATTTCACAAAACGCCGCAGCATTTCAGAAAACACAACAGCATTTCAGAAAACACAACAGCATTTCACAAAACACAACAGCATTTCACAAAACGCCACAGCATTTCAGAAAACACCACAGCATTTCACATTGGACGGAAAGGGTATTCCTTTAGGGAGAACACTTCTTGTTTGTGATTGGACAGAGCCAGCCAGAGAAGCACTGCTGTGATTGGTTGTTTTTGCTGCCAGTCAAGAAATGACGCTTCGTGATCGGTCAGCACCCGACAGCCAACATGTCCCAACACATCAACCGTTAGCTGTGAGCACACACTCAGAGCTCACAGCTCCTCATATCTGTTCAGAAACTGGACAAAAGTTAAACAAGTACAAACCACAGACTGTCTGTCATGGCGAATACAGTCGCTGCTTTATTTATGTCTGTATGACGCTGTTGTGAGTGTGGACGGAGCAGCTACAGGTTAGTTTAGCCTGATCGATCCGCCCCCTCTCCAGCACGTCTTGTTTGAATGACAGGAGTAAACACTGACAGCTGTGGTGAAACTCGAGCGATTAGAGCGATGCGAAAAAAACATGAATTAATGCTTTATTAATTCATGGTTTTTAAGGGGCTTATCTCCATGTAAATACTATGGTAGACTACCCAATATTCGCATCGCTCTAATCGCTCGAGTTTCACGGCGGCTGTCAGCTGTGTTTGCTCCTGTCATTCAAACAAGACGCGCTGGAGAGGGGGCGGGGCGTATCTCCATGTAAATCCTATGGGAGATACCAACTACAACAAAATGAACATATTGACCGTGATTTAATTGTAATACACGTTTCAAAGTGATGCCGAAGTAACAACATACTGATACCGGTTAGTAAAAACCATGAATTAATGCTTTGACAAGTCTGCAGACAAGACGGCAGGCGAAAAGCCTCTGAGTGTGCTAACAGCTATATGTCCCAACACATCAGCCGTTAGCTGTTAGCACACACTCAGAGCTCACAGCTCCTCATATCTGTTCAGAAACGGGACAAGAGTTAAACAAGTACAAACCATAGACTGTATATGTCATGGCGAATACAGTCGCTGCTTTATTTATGTCTGTATGACGTTGTTGTGAGTGTGGACGGAGCAGCTACAGGTTAGTTTAGCCTGATGGATCCGATTCCATTCAGAAAACACGCATTTTAAAAGCTTTTCGCCTGCCGTCTTGTCTGCAGACTTGTCAAAGCATTAATTCATGGTTTTTACTAACCGGTATCAGTATGTTGTTACTTCGGCATCACTTTGAAACGTGTATTACAATTAAATCACGGTCAATATGTTCATTTTGTTGTCGAGTTTCACCACAGCTGTCAGTGTTTACTCCTGTCATTCAAACAAGACGTGCTGGAGAGGGGGCGGATCGATCAGGCTAAACTAACCTGTAGCTGCTCCGTCCACACTCACAACAGCGTCATACAGACATAAATAAAGCAGCGACTGTATTCGCCATGACACAGACAGTCTGTGGTTTGTACTTGTTTAACTTTTGTCCAGTTTCTGAACAGATATGAGGAGCTGTGAGCTCTGAGTGTGTGCTAACAGCTAACGGTTGATGTGTTGGGACATGTTGCGCTCGGGTGCTGACCAATCACGAAGCGTCATTTCTTGACTGGCAGCAAAAACAACCAATCACAGCAGTGCTTCTCTGGCTGGCTCTGTCCAATCACAAACAAGAAGTGTTCTCCCTAAAGGAATACCCTTTCCGTCCAATGTGAAATGCTGTTGTGTTTTCTGAAATGCTGTTGTGTTTTCTGAAATGCTGTGGTGTTTTCTGAAATGCTGCGGCGTTTTCTGAAATGCTGCGGCGTTTTCTGAAATGCTGTTGTGTTTTCTGAAATGGTGTAGCGTTTTCTGAAATGCTGTTGCGTTTTCTGAAATGCTGTGGCGTTTTCTGAAATGCTGTTGTGTTTTCTGAAATGCTGTGTTGTTTTGTGAAATGCTGTGGTGTTTTCTGAAATGCTGTTGTGTTTTCTGAAATGCTGTGTTGTTTTGTGAAATGCTGTTGTGTTTTCTGAAATGCTGTGTTGTTTTGTGAAATGCTGTGGTGTCTTGCACTTCCGGGCCACCGTAATTTCTTGTATTTCTGCGAATTACATTTCTGTGTCTTATTGGATTTACAGGAACATCGTGATGCGTGAGCTGGCTCCTCAGTTTCAGATTCCTTGGTCCATCCCCACTGAGGCAGAGGACATCCCCATTGTTCCTACTACATCAGGGACCATGTGAGTCAGGACATTAGTCTAACCAGTTAAGCCACATATTTGCACTGGCGGTATGTTGACTGTGTAAAATAATTGGCATAGTTTCTTAATTATTAGAATCAGAATCAGGAAACGATTTGACCTGGGGGGAATTGATTTTGTGACAGTTGCTACATATTTGTATAAAATAAAAGATTACAAATATATTGTTTTTAAATTGGGCCGCCGGAGATCTCAGTTGTAGAACCTGGCCCAACATTTTTTTTTTTAAATAAAAATAATACAACTAAAAGTAAGAGAAAACATAAGATGTTAAAGGTCCAATCATATGCTTTTCTGGTTATTACCCGTCCCCTTGTGTGTTATGAAGGTTTTTATGCATGTACTGTAAACGGTCTGCAAAGTCACAAACCCTCAAAGTACACCCTGTAGCGAGTAAAATAACTCAGAAAAGACCTGTCTATGCTGCCCAGAGGTGGCGCTAGACCTTTTCGCTGCCCGTCATTTTGACGGACAGGATTGTAAAATGTCCGTCAAAATCCATTATTACCCGTCGGTCTACTCTGTACACAACTCTGAGGGGGGGGGGACGCACGCTCGTGAACTGTTAGCGCCGGTGTTATGCCGTTATGCATGCCCACTGCACCTCGCAGGAGCGCGCACAGCGTAAAAGAAAAACTCCCAGACATTTCAATGATTTTTACGGCAACGTTTTTTGTTGTTGTTGTTGTAATCGTTTATTTAGCAGGGACAATGCACAGTAATGAACACTTAAAACATTCAAATGTGTCAAGCGTAACAGTGCCAGATTTAGCTTTGAGCTCATTTCCATCCGCAGTCCCTCACATAAAACTTTTAAGAAGATTACATTTTACAAACATAGCAAAAACAAAATACATGAAATGCAAAAAGTGCAAAAGAGCAAGAGCAGCGTACACAAGTATTTATGACATGGTAATACAATATAGCAGCAACGACATATAAAGTGCAAGAAAATATAAAAGTGCTACGTAAAGTGCAAGAGGAGATACCCCTGTGTTAAAGTGCATTTAGCGGTGATTGTTGTTTGTTTCTCAACCATTCTTTGAGTTGACCTTTGAAGCTATTGAGAGTGGGACAATCCCGTATCTCAGTTGGGAGGCTATTCCACAAAGAGCTGCCTTTAATTGAAAGTACATTTTGTCCAAAAGTGGTCCGTCTACGGTGGACTTCACAGTTAGGTTTGGAAAACTATCTCATTTCCTTTTTGGCGGGCACGGCATAACACCGGAGCCTCGCTGCGGGGGAACTTTGGCGCTGTTCCGAGTTTGTTCTAATCTGTCAAAATGACGGACTGCTTTCAGATTTTTCCGTCATTGTTAAAAAAAATATTCTGCCCCAGAACGCCTCGTTGTAGATTTGTCTTTTTCCATTTTTTACTTCCGGGGCCTATTGACGTCACCAAATCCAAATGGACCAATTGGCACACAGCTATAGAACAATAGGCACACCCTCTGTGGACTCCCGAGCAGCTCAGGAGTCCGCCCCGTGAGGCTCCCGGAGCGGACAGTGTGAGGTGGATTTCCCGCTGTGTTTCCCTAGATGCTGGATATAGACTAAGTTCCATGTTAGCGGGACATTACGGTGGATTTCCCGCTGTGTTTAACCAGGAAACGACACCAGTAATCCACCTCACACTGTCCGCTCCTCAAGCCTCAAAGGGCGGAGCAGCGAGCCCCGCAACGTCCCGCCAACACGGCACCCAGACCCCACGCAGCACTCTCATCTGTTTGTCATTACTGGTGCTTATGGTTAAAGAGACAACATTGCGTACAGTTTACTAGCTGAACTGCTCGTAACTGAAATTGAAGGATCACATTTATTTTTATTTCTCATTTATTGTTATTTCTGTTGCCCTAAGAAGAGCATATTGATTGGATGTTACCGTTGACATTAACTCACTCTTGCACTCTTCAGGATGGAGCTACGCTGTGTCATTGCCGTCATCCGACATGGAGACAGAACGCCCAAACAGAAGATGAAGATGGAAGTTCGCAACCCAATGTAGGTTACCTGTGTTCCTGCGGTTCCTTTTCAATGAAAAGATAGATAACATATGTTCTGTTAATGAATAGTCTGTCTCTCATTCATGCAGGTTCTTTGATCTTTTTGAAAAATATGGAGGCTACAAAACAGGGAAATTAAAGCTGAAGAAGCCAAAGCAACTGCAGGTAACAATAAGTCAGAGAAAGCTCATTTGAGTAGGTTTGACCTCGTAAAGCTTCACCACAAATCTCCCAGCCTGTGTGTGATTAACTCTGTGTGTGAGAACTCTGACGGCTTGTTGCTCTGACCCAATAGGAGGTGCTGGACATCACACGGCAGTTGTTAGCAGAACTAGGACAGCACAATGACTGCGAGATAGAAGAGAAGAAGTCTAAACTGGAGCAGCTGAAGACTGTTCTGGAAATGTGAGTCAAACAAACTGGGCCACTTTATTAACCATTAAAAACCTTATGTTATATTAATTAATGTCAGCAAGTGTTTTAAACAATGATAGAATGCAAATATTAACTACGGATTTGTTCAACTGTTAAACTCTGCAATAACTCCAATGGTTAGATTCACAATCTAAGGGATTTTGTGCAACAAGGCGGTCAGTAATGAAAAAAGAACACCCGACAAGGTAATCACGGAGCTCGGTGCGAAGCTGAGGGAACTTGATCACTCGGCCACATACTAAATAAACCAACAACTTGACTCGCAATATTGATTTAAAATGATCATATTGCTTTGGCTAAGAAAAGAAAAGTCTGTTGCGTACCCGCGGCAGGTTTGCTGTAACAGTCCCTAGTCTGCTCACATTTTCTTTTCCTTTAACAAGTCTTTAAATACTGCCAGAGCCCATCCCGTGTTCCCGTTAGTCCGTCTTCCTCTTTTCATTTCTCTGACGTCGAGTGCTCTTTTAACCTCTTTCCTTCGCTTGTGATGTTTTCTTTACTGGGGACACTTTAGCCATAATGAGTCCAAATTCTCTTGATATCCACAAATATAAAATTGAATATATAAAAAGTATTCAAAGTGATTTTGTTGGATGAAAACGAATGTTTGTTGTCCACAGCTGTATTGTTATCCTTAGCAGTGGTCTGTTACCGAGTATAAACACCCTCTGAAATGTACCAATCAGTATTGAGTATTCAACTAAGCTGTGTAATACAAAATTATGAAGTGGTTTGGTATTAATTTGGTTGTATGCATAGTTGCATGTTCTGGTGCTCCACTTCCTTTTGCGTTAAAGTGGTTGGAAGAGAGTTTCCTAAGTTTGTCTTTGGCTTCCTTCCCGGCCTATTATGACAAATGAGTTTTTAAAAGGTCACCATCTGCCATACACAACTTTCAAGAGCCTTTGATGTGCAGTGAGTTATGGCTGCAGTGTTTGTCCTGTTAACAGACCAGTAGAAACATTGGGGTTATTGTCTTCATGTAACCTTTTTAAAGGCCCAGATTGTCATGGCACATACAAATGCACAACTTCAGTCATGTATTCTTCAAAAAAGGTATCTAAAGATGTTGTTTTTCTCAGCTCAATATGGAAGATCGTCGTTATGTCCGTGTTGTGATTGTCCTAGAGCTAATCTCACAAATGACTGAACTCATCAGCCTAATATCTTGTGCACATGTATGACCGCTTAAGGACCTGTAAAGCCTTTCTAGTATTGTGATAAGGGATTACCAGCCTGTAACTGCACGCCCTGTTTCTTAGTCAACATCACATTGTTAGTGGTCGTCATTTTTATTAGCAATGGCAATTTACTAATGATAATGATGATTTTGTTATCGTAGGTAGAAGAAGTAATACAATCATGTTTATCTATCCAAGCTTCCTTTTTTAATGACCCTATTTCTATTTCCTTGCTTATTAAGGTACGGCCACTTCTCGGGTATCAACAGAAAAGTGCAACTAACTTACTTGCCCCATGGGCAGCCCAAAACCTCAAGTGAGGAAGAAGGTAGGAAGAAATCAAGGCACATTTTTAAAAATATGATGCTGTCGAGCTAAGACGGGCCAAAATGCTGAATACTGGGTCCTTTTGATTGAATTTTCAGATACGCGTAAGGAGGGTGCATCTCTGCTGCTGGTGCTAAAGTGGGGGGGAGAGCTGACTCCTGCTGGCAGAGTCCAGGCTGAGGAGCTGGGCAGGGCCTTCCGCTGTATGTACCCCGGGGGTCAAGGTGAGACACATGGCTTGTTTTCCTACTGGAAAGAAAGGTTACGTGGTATTTAATTCTGCTACATTTCAATGAAGAGAACACCTTTGACCACCTCCTCATAACATGTCGAAGTGTTTCTTGGCAAAACACTTAACCTCAAACTGTTCCTGTAGGCAAGTCTATGGTATGTAAGTCGCTTTAAAGACACATTCCCCCCCTGCCTGAAACGCCTCAATTGGACTCTTTTGTTTACTTCCGTAACATAATAACATCACTACGTAACACTTGGCTGTAGAGAAAAGAGAGGAGGGGGGGAGAAAGACAGTTGAAGCATTTAGTAAAGGTATTCCAGGGTCTTTCGCCAGAGAACATGAGATGTTAGGACTGAGATGTAAACAAAGGAACCTGGACAAGGAAAGTGTCCCTCTTCATTAAAGCAGAGCAAACAATCTCAGGATAATTTAGCCCATTACCGAGGGGTCACGGGTTTAAAAAAACGTATTTTCTTAAGATCCTAGGTGGAAGTTATTTCCTACCAAGGTGGGGTCATCTTTTCACAAACTGTGCTAGTTACGCACAAAAATGCAGATAGTTTACAGTGACTTTTACACCAGCAAGGTCTGTGTCTGTTTACTCATGTTATTGTTGTCTTCAATGTGTTTCTGTAGGAGACTATGCTGGATTCCCAGGCTGTGGGTTACTGCGGTTACACAGCACCTACAGACACGACCTGAAGATATACGCGTCCGATGAAGGCCGGGTGCAGATGACGGCCGCTGCTTTTGCAAAGGTGTGCAGAATTCCAGGACTCTTTAACAGCTCCATACAAAATAGACATGTCATCACTGTTGCTAGGTATCAGCGTTGATACAAAAAAATAAATAATGCCTTTTGTAATAACCATTAAGCTGTTTCATACAGAGATACGTTATATGTTATTGTCCTCAGCTGTGTGAGTCTAGAATGGAAAAGAAAGTAGGTAAAACAAGCTGGAGTCAACATCTCCGTTGAATAGAAATAAAACAGCGCCACCTGCAGAAATTCAAAGGACTTTGACAGAAGGAAAGGAGAGATATTTTCAGAAGAAAGCAAGTGTTCTGCAAAGTACAGCAAACTTTTAGACAATTCATTTTTGCCTTTGAGAGATAAACAGTTTTCTTTTTATGACCATGGACCGCTGAGTACCATTAGCTGTTGATTGGTAAAAAAAAATTAACTAAACTGTCGCATATTATTTGCAAAATAAGTGTGACTATTTTTGTAGTAGAGAAATAAATGTCAAAATCAGTCGTGTTGCAAAATATCAGTGATTTGTTTATTTGTCCCAGTAAAACAGCTCATGCTATTTGTGAGATATCAAAGTATTGGCCACACTGTTAAAAACAAAAAGATCTAATTATCATGTTTGCATCAAAGATGTTGCCAAAACAAATCACCACAGATTACCACCTCATTGTGTGTGTGTGTGTGTGTGAGCAGGGTCTGCTGGCGCTGGAGGGGGAGCTGACACCCATCCTGGTGCAGATGGTGAAGAGCGCCAACATGAACGGGCTGCTAGACAACGACAGCGACTCGCTGAGCAGCTGCCAGCACCGCGTCAAGGCCCGACTGCACGACATCCTGCAGAAGGACAGGGACTTCAACGAGGAGGACTTCGACAGGGTGATTACATTAAAGAGGCCCTATTAGGCTTTTTTCCCTGTCCTGTAGTGGGTTATATATGTTTTCTGCATGTAAATGCTAAGGGGTGGGACAGAGCCAGCCAGCTAACCAATCAGAGCAGACTGAGCTCTGGTTTCAGACAGAGGGTGAACAGAGGTGCTGCATCACAGGCAGTATGAGAAAAATAAAGAGCTTTTTGTACATTAGAGTATGGAATAATGTCACAGTAGAGGCACTACATACAAATATGAAACCTGAAAATTAGCATAAAATGTCCTCTTACAATTTCATTGAATTGAGCTGACGCTTTTATCGAAAGCGTATTACATTAAGTGGATTCAGAAATGATAAGCTATTATTTGCCAAGGTTAAACCACTGGGTATTTATTCTGCGAGCTCGTTCCACCACTTTGCAGCTAGGATAGCAAACAGGCGTGTTTTTGTTGATTAACAAACTGTGAACAACACCCTTAGCTGACTGCTTTATGTGCGCCTGAGGAGGTAGGGAGGAAAACAACATTGAGAAACACTGTCGTAAACTGCAGACTTGTTGTTTTGAAATAGGAAGCACATGTGATGTCTTGCGCCATTTGTCATTACCTTTTTTTGTGGCTGGTTTCAGCTTAATTACAATAATTAACAAACGCAGCTAAGAGTTCAGTCTGTAGATCATAGAGAGGCAAGGGCCGAGATTTTCTTCTTTTGTAAGTGGGAAAAAACTGGGACACATGAGACGGCTGTCCGTGCCAGTAATTCTTGGGATAACCAGTGTTGAACCAGATAACACAGGCGTGATTGAACACCTTTCTTTAAATATATGTTGTTCTAAATACCCAGCTCACTGGGGAAATTCTAGCTGCAGTGAATTCATTTCATTGCAAAAGTTGATCCGATCGTGTTGTGGTTATACTTGGATGCAAACATGTTTGTGTGCTTGTCAAAAATCTTTCCGCTACAGCTACTCCTCCCAAAGTGTTTCTTCAAATAGTAATGTGATCTCACTTAACTTCACCTACAAATTAGAGAATGTATTTTGACTAATGTCTCCCACAGTACTAGTTAGAATGAGAGAATAATACTAAGAGACAACCTGATTGTCTGTGACCAAATCTCCTTTGATCATTCAGAAGATCAATGACCTGGTCTTGAGCTAACTTTTAAGCATTAATTATATTTCCTAATTGTGTTCTATTATATCAATTGACAAAGGTTTAGCAGCCTTGCACTTATAAGGTCAAAATGTGTTCTGTTTGATTTCATTAAATACCTTTTTGTACTTTTTCTTTTTCATTTGGTGTGCATGTGACAGCTGGCCCCAACCTGTAGTGATTCTGTGGTGAATTCAATGAAGATTGTGGAGAACCCTGTGGCCACATGTGACCAGGTCTACGCCCTCATTCAGAGCCTCACCTCACAGATCCGCAAAAGGATGGAGGACCCCAAGTCAGCTGGTGAGCAAAAATCTGCCATACAACCCCTCTTTTAAATAGAGCTTTTAGAGTATATAGGCTTTGTTTTTTTAACTACTTTAACAGATGTTGAAATCCACTTGGATCCATGTTAATTTTCTTGAAATGTTCTCCATTTATTATCTTTTTAATTTACACACTATCTATTGCACGTCTCTCCATCCTGGGAGAGGGAGCCCTCCTCTGTTGCTCTCCCAGAGTGTCGAATGCTGTACGCAATGAAAAGCACCCTGAGGCAAATGTGTAATTCGTGATATTGGGCTATATAAATACAAATTGATTGATTTATAGATGAACGGTTTTCTTTTGTTTACCTCAAAGCTTGAAAGGTGATGCCTTAAAAAGTCTTTGCAGGATAACTCTCATCGATAGAAACACATTTCTATCAAAATCAAATAGAGTTTGGTTTATAATGCAATGCAAATGATCTTCTTTCTCTCCCTTCACCAGACCTGCAGCTGTACCACAGTGAGACTCTGGAGCTGATGCTGCAGCGCTGGTCCAAACTCGAGAGAGATTTCCGCATGAAGAACGGCCGCTACGACATCAGTAAAATCCCAGACATCTACGACTGTGTGAAGTACGACGTTATCCACAACGCCACCCTGGGCCTGGAGGACACACTGGAGCTGTTCAGACTGTCTCGAGCTTTGGCCGACATCGTCATCCCACAGGTGACAGAGGAGGGAGGGGGGTGAAGGACCAGCTGGGAAGGAGACGGTTCTATATCTGGGGGATTTGAGTTTTTTTCTTCCAAGATTTTCTCAGAAAAATAAAATCATAGTAAATGAACTAACTATAAAAATCCCAAATAAAGCCTTTATTGCTAATAATAATGCATAATGCTTTATAAATCTCATGTATTTATTATTACGTTATTTATTTATTTTACTTCTGTCAAAGCGTGTCTGTTACAAATTCCTTCAAATGTAAAAGGCACACATAAGAATGAAGTTGCTATGTGAAACAAAATGATATTGGAAGTCGAAATCCTGGACATATTTATTGTGCGCTGATCCATGATACTGTTGACCTGTTCCTTAGCATCCCCCTTGACTTCTTTAAGACCACTGATCTTGGTCCATATAACGTGATGCAAGGATTGTACACCCAAAAATGATCTAAGGTATTATCTTTTCAGCAGCTGTGTAGCGTTTTTTTAATCAAATGAGTGTTTGTTTTTGCAGGAATATGGCATTAATAGAGTGGAGAAGTTGGACATAGCATACACCCACTGCCTCCCACTGGTCAGAAAGATCCAGCTCGACCTGCAGAGGACCCACGAGGACGAGTCTGTCAACAAGCTGCACCCTCTGTGAGTAAATTCATTAAATGCATGGCTGTTTAGATGGCTGCAAAGTGTTTTGAATGACTGATATTTTGGAGCTTCTAGTACAATAGTGTTTTGTCTGCAGGTACTCTCGAGGGGTGATGTCTCCTGGGCGCCATGTCAGGACACGTTTGTATTTCACCAGTGAGAGTCACGTCCACTCCCTGCTCAGCATTTTCCGCTACGGTGGCTTGCTCGACGTAAGTAATGAAACATCAATCCTACAGAACTGAAAATGTTTCTAAGATGGGGTCAAAGTGAAAACTAAGGTTTGTTTGCGATAGGAGGAGAACGACCAGCAGTGGAAGCGTGCCATGGATTACCTCAGCGCCGTCTCTGAACTCAACTACATGACTCAGATTGTCATCATGCTGTATGAGGACAACAATAAGGTAATGTTTTTGTTGGTTTGTTATCTATAGCCATAATGACACATAGCCTCCACAACATTGTATCTTTCTGGTATCTCCAATGTGTCCGTCCATCTGTGTGTGTGCGTGAATACATCTGTATTTTGTTTTAAAAATATAAATAAAAACTAAAAGGTCAACTCAGATTTGAAACCTTCTCCACTTGTTTTATTATCCGAAGGTTTTTGATATAATGTCATTTTCTAAAGTGCAAGGAAAATAAAAATAGTTTTTGGAAGAGTAAGGTCATTTGAAACTATTGCACCAGTACTAACAATGGTTTGGCTTATTTGAAGCGAATTGACCTGCAATTTCTTCCTTTTCTGGTCTTCATGATTTATTGTAAATCACTTTTTGTATGGCTGCTTGCAAAGTGTTTACAAAATTAAACGCATCATAACAAATGTAATTCAATTGGTTTATCATATTTAAATCTGTAGAAAAGCACAAAAAGACCGTATTTCTAATATGGCTGTCCCGCCCAATAGGATCTGGCCTCTGAGGAACGCTTCCACGTGGAGCTTCACTTCAGTCCCGGTGTGAAAGGCGTGGAGGAGGAGGAGAACGCACCGACCGGCTTCGGCTTCAGGCCCGCTTCTGCAGAGGTAGCCCGGCAGGTAGTATCCTGTTGAAGTGTTCTTTCTGTGTTTCAGTTCAGCAGATAGCAGCATGCGTATGCTCTCCTTATTCTCTCTGAACATACAGAACGGGCAGAAGCAGACGGATCCCGGCAGCCTGGAGGACCTCTCGCGAGATGAGACCGACCGCGCCGTGCCGCTGTCTGAGCCAATCACCATTCAGAGGAAGTCTCCACTCATACGCAATCATAAGACAGGATCCATGGAGGTGATGCAGACTCATCCACCTAGACACCTAAGAAGCAGACTCTTTACACCAGAAGCTGAAATCAGTTTATTTAATGCTAGACTTAAGGAGTTATGGCTATAAAAGCTACTATCAAAGATCAATCACTAATCTGGTCAGCCTTAAGCTATGTATTTGTTTAGATTCGTTAAAGAATAGTGTTTTGTGTGTGTGTACGTGTGTGTGTGTGTGTGTGTGTGTACGTGTGTGTGTGTGTGTGGTGTGTGTGTGTGTACGTGTGTGTGTGTGTACGTGTGTACGTGTGTACGTGTGTACGTGTGTGTCTACCAGGTTCTGTCAGAGACATCTTCCTCCAAAGTAGGCAGTTATCGCCTCTTCTCGTTATGCTCACGTCAATCCCCCGAGATGAAGCAAAGTGGATTAGGTAAGTGTATTAATGCACTGTTTCCATGGCAACTGTTTGTAGATGGTTGTGGGAATTGTGTTAAAGGGATGGGGACGGGCAGACCGATTTCATTTGAGAACTTTTGATCTGGGAGTGTGCTAACACTAACGGTAATTATTAGAGTGGTCACAATGCGATTTTCTATTTAAACCTTTTTCTATTCCATTGTTGGTATAGATTTGTAAAGATCAACAGATCACTGAACTATGTACATTTACCTTTTGTTGTACGTTATCAAACTTGTAGTTGATATTCAATTTAGAATCGAAGTTGTGACACCCCTAATAATCCACTCTGAGGTCTGTTTTCACTGTGTGGGGGGGTGCATGTAAGCAGCTGGTGTTTACAGTATGTCTCCACATGGGGATGTATATGTGTCTGTTAATGAATGTGCCTGTCATACTCTCAACATACAATGGAAATGACTAATGTCTTCATTTTCAGCCTGTTTTGGTATCTAAATAAGTATTCCATTAAACATCTTATATCTGACCGTAACAGTTTTGTAAGTACCATGGTCCAGTTTGCTCTTGAATGGGGAATCTCTTTTCAAATGTAGTGACCAGCAACATTGTTCAGATTTTTTTTTTTTTTTTTTCAATGGTCACAATAAGGAAGTTAGTTTTGCAATTATTTTTTTTAATGTATTTTTTCCCCATTCTATTGACGTGAGTTTAAAGTGATTAGGATCATGAAATATGTGCATCAGTGGCATAATCCGATTATATGCTAAGACGTGTAATTATATTCAGAGTTGAAGTGTCCACATCTATGCAGCTGCGTACAGACGGACATTACACTGCCGCAGATCCTCAGATCATTTCCCCCCCCTTTGACACGCTGCAGTCTCAGCTGTTTAACACATCAGAGGTGCATATCACGTTTGGGTGTCGGCCCCTTTTTGAAAGAGATATTTCAGAGGCAACCACTTTTTGGGGTTGCTGTTTTGCACTGCTGTTCAACAGACCCATTGGACTTTAAGATCTAATTCTTTTTGCTTTGACCCCTATTTTCTCTTTTCTATGCTGCTCTTTTGTGCTCCTGGTTTGGACTAATGTCAAAAAAGCATCCTGGGAAATGAAGGAAAACAATAACTTAAAGTAAGAGGAAAGGTGGATCGACTTAATTACAAAATGGCACTTAGAAAGTGTCACAAAGAAAAAGTGGAACATTTCAGGATGCATTTTTCCTTTGCCTGCCATAGTGGCTGAACTTTTGTCCAGATGTGGGGACAGATGTTTGTACGAGACGCCTGGTCCTCTTTTGCTTGTCTGTCTCTTTTTCTCTGTTTTTCTGTCTCTTTTTTCTCTCTGTCTCTCTCTGGATAGTTGTTTTGAGTAACAGCATGATATGTAGTGGTGACTAACCCCCCCCACCCCGCCCCCTCGCAGGCTCTCAGTGCGCCGGGCTCTTCAGCACCACTGTCCTAGGTGGGTCCTCTAGCGCCCCTAACCTGCAGGACTACGCACGCGCACATCGCAAAAAATTCTCCACCGGCAGTCTGTCCTACAAAGACGGTACGTGTTTGAGACCGCGCTCCTTCACAATCCTGCACAGGGCAACAGCAGATCAGTGACAGATACACTTCCTCTTAGTCCTAGCGCGTAGAATAGCCTAAGATTGTATTTTCTGTAGATTTACTAAGAACTAGAATTGATGTATTGGTTAGATGATGTGATCAATAGCATCAGTAGAACTTTGGATAATACAAATATGCTTTATGAGAGTGAGGATTAAGCAGGAATACACATCATGTATGCCCATACATGTGTTTTCCTAATTTCTATATTTTTTGTTATTTTTTCTTTGAATCCATATTCATTCTAGCCACCAAAACCACTGGACTTTTCCATCTTATGCTTTTGTTTTCTCCACTCCACTTTGAGTAAAAATGGGTGTATAGCAGTTTGTATACATGCTGACCAATTTAGACGGGAAACATTGCCACAAGAGTAGCACAGAATCGGTGTCTGTAGAGTATTTAAAATCCACGCCTGGTGAAAACCATTCATTTTGATAATTTATTTATTTTCTATAAGAACTACTGCATGTATAAAGCAACTGTTCATCAGTACGTCTGCGTTTACTTCCCCTCATTCCCCAAATCATGTTTTTCTTGCATGTACCCTGGCTGCACTGACTTCCTATTAGTCTGTTCAGCAATACAACCATGTGTATATCACAGCCAGTAACAATTACTAGTAGGCAAATGACTGCTAGCTGCTGACATTTGAATTCAAGAAACATTTGATAATGATAAAGTTGATGTAATAAAGTCTGAATTAATAGCAGAAGTCGTACAGCAGTTTTACATGCGCATCATACTTTTTTTTTTCAGCCCCTCTGCTGTTGGAGTTAGAAAGCTAGTGCTGTTACTGTGCTCAAACATTATTCAAAAAACGCTTTGAATAATGTTGAATGTGAAAAGCAACGGTCGATATTGAACCCAGGGATCTATCATGCTTGGCCCTGATGTTTGTTGTCATGGCGTCCAGGAGGTGTCACTGTGGCATCACGCAGTTGTACAGTCGGCTCCTGGTTGTCTCACATGTAGCCTCGCTGCCGGTCTTTGTCATCCATCTTGTTCCACATCCCTCTCAAGAATCAAAGGAAGCACACTAATCTCGATGCAGTCGAGATTCAGAGCATGCTCCTCCGTTAGATGCTCCTCCGTTAGTGTAGCGTTGGTGTGATTTTTTTTTTTTAAGTGTTTCCATACAGAAACATCTTAAACCGGGTCAGGTTCTTCAGTTTGTATTGTTGTCTCACTATATGACACAGAGGCGGAACGGAAATGTACTGGGATGTCTTGTTGTGGTTCGAGCTCAAGCGGGGCTGAATATAGGGCTTGTTTCTTCCAGGTGTTCTAGTCCTCGGTGTGTACGCTTCACCTCCTAAGTTCAAACATTTCATCTCACTCCATTGATGCCCCGCAGCCATCTTCAAACATCTTCAGCCATCTCTAACAGTAACTCCAGGTAGTTCAGGGGATTCTCAGACCCACTCAGTTGTCTAGGTGCTGTTTGACCTTTAGAGAAGAACAGGGAAAGGATACAACATGATGACACAAGTTACTGTGGCTCCTAGTGATTTTTTTTATTTTTTATTTCCTCAGAGTTGTTGTCAATGCCGGCAGTAAAACGATTTTCTGTGTCGTTTGCAAAGTTTCCGACTAATGGTACGTCTGCTTCCTTCAAGTATTTTTCCACTTCACCTCCCTGTGTCTTGCATGTCTTCAAACTTTTTGTTTTTGACCTTGGTTTTTTTTTTCACAAGGCCCTCCAGCATTCCAGGCTTTTTTTCTTCGAATGATTCATTTTTTTAATTTATCCATATGCTTTGGACTGTTAATTTCTAACACTACCTGACATCCTCTTTCTAACCAGGGTTCCCACTGGTCATCTTTAGAATATCCACAAATTAGAAGACAGGGAATGTCAGCAAACGTTAACACAGACCTCATATTAGTGTAGCAGGAAATATACATCCTAACAGTACTTATACCTGTAAGAAAAACATTGTAATAAGCAGGGAATCATTTGTGATTATCATTCTTTTACTGTCTTTTACCTCATATTTATTATATTCTTAGACTTTCATTTGAACCAAAAGACAAATAACCAAACCACAAATAAGGACAAATTAATGTTTAAAATTGTCCTCCATTACAGTAGGAAACAGCCATGTTGTCTTACCTCTCGTGCCAGTTAACTGCATTCAATTAACATTGGATCATTTTAAATCAGAGACTCTGCATTGGTCAAAAGTAAGCAATTGACTGTTTGTGCTCTGTAGATTTTTATTTTTTTTATATTTTGTACACAAGAGACATGGTTCCTGTAATGGTTTAGGGGTTTACCCAGCCAGATTTCCCCCCAAAAAATCTATTTCTTGGCTATGTACAACGTAGGATTAATGTTGTTATTCAAGCATCCAATTTCAGCTTTTATTTGGATATGAGACAATATATACAGTTTGCAGATAAAATGGAGAATGAACCTAAACAACACATTTAACAACCTTTTATTAAATACAGTAACATATGGGGAATATCTATTATAACGGTTCAGTAAAGTATTTTGTTACAGGGCCAGTAGAAAAAAAAAGTTGAAGGTATAAGTCTGATTTTGAAAAAATGATATAAGCCCCGATTTACTAAATCAAATGGATTTATTGGAGGAGCACTTCAATACAGTGCTGCATTGTTGACATATGTTTGTAGGCTGTCTTTAGTGTCTTACTTTATTAAAGTTTGAAGACTTGCAAAAGAGGAAGCCGATGATATGGGTGCAACTCCAAAGACAATGGATCCTGTTTTTCATACTGACATCACTACGTAACACTTGCGCTTCTTTTGGCTAGCGCTCCAACACATTGTACGTGATGAACAATCATAACAGAGCCGGCCGCTAACCAATCAGAGCAGACTGGGCTCTGGTTTCAGACAGAGGGTGAAAAGAGGTGCTGCAGCACAGGCAGTATGAGAAAAATAAAGAGCTTTTTGAACATTAAAGCATGGAGACATGTCACAGTAGAGACACAACATACAAATATGAACCTGACAAAGAGCAGAATAGGGCTCCTTTCAAATGAAAGAGCCTTCCGATGAAAGTTTGCTTTGAGCCAATGGTGGGAACCCTGTTTCACATCCCTCATACAATTTTGTTAATTGATCGCCATTACCCAGTAATTCATTTACATTTTTCTCCAGTGGATGGATGTGTGTGGGTGCATGTGTACACGGTAATTACGTAAATAACACACCTATTGCCGTCATTGTAGAGGATGTGAGTAAAGCTCATTGTTAAAATGCCACCAGCAGCACATTCATCTTTAACCCTTGGTCGTTTATGGCTCATCGGTAATGCTTATGTGATTATTCTTTCACAACGCCACCTCTAATGTGTGGATTGAAGGGTCAATATGGTTCAATCACAGCTGACTCAACAAGGATCAGCTCTTATTGAAGGACAGAGGAAGGGGTAAAGCGTTGTTCATCTCATCTCCTGTGACATCCGTCAGTTTTTGTTTTGATCCATTTGCACACATATGCTTTTCTCAATGTTTTCCAATGTGGTTGTCCAGGGTGTTTCAAGACTTGAAAAAGAGCAAACAACTACATTTGTATTGAAGATGTGTAATGACGATGTTTGTGGTCTCACTTGTGATGTTTATCTTGATTTTGGATCATTTATTGACTACATTTGTCTGGGAGGAAGAAGGGAAGTCGTAGATGATGAGATGTTGACGTTGTTGTGAATATCCCAGCTACTATTTTCTGTCCTTTCACTCAATGTGGAAACAAGGACTGGTTTAAATGGATTAAACTTGGTTAGTTTGGGGTAGTTAAGCTTCTCGGGTGTCTGCTTTTTGATGAAAGTTGGATCGCTTCCTTTGTTTGCATAATGAAGAGCGTACCAAAGTGGTCTTAACAGGCACAAATGTTCATCCACAAGTGTTTTTCTGGCGAATGTTCTTGGCAGTCATCTCATTAAACAGAACAAGTGTGAGCACTACAGTGGGATTTCAAATGACCCCAGAAAACAAACTCTTCCTGTGAGATAGCACCATGCCAATACAGTCAACGTTACTGCCACACTATTAGTATGTTACTTTTCTCTTACATATATTATTCACCACAGGAACTAAAGATGACACATCGGCCGTAGCAGTGGCTCCACCTGTCTGGTGCACTGCAACAGGTACGACGGCCCCCCCGCCCCCGCTGATGCAGTTTTGTGTTGGCACCAAATGTCCAGCTGCAGCTTTGTGTCAAAGCACAATAAGATGACGACAGTCGTACAACCCTAGATTTAGCTGCACATGTTAAAGCTGCTGCGCTGTTTGTTTGGAGAGGTGGCTGCGTTTTATTTTGGGCTACATCGCTTCCTGTAAATGTCTTGTGTCACTCTTGCTCCTTTGTGGGTTCTCATGGATTGGTTTATATGAAAATAAATTGGAGAGACGGCAGAGGAGCAACTTGTTTTCATTTCAATCGTGTCGTCAAAAGCTTTGCTTCATTTGCTGGATTTTTGTAGCTGAGATGATTTGCTGCTTCTCCTGATCTTTGGCTGTTTGGCGGCCATGATGTGCTGTTGGCTGCCACTTCTGTGTACAGCACACACACACTCCTCCTTCCTCTCTCTCTGCTTCCCTTCCTGTCTTTCCAAACTCCTATTTTCCCTCTCATCTGCATCATACCTCAGTTCATTTCTCTCTTCCTTCCTCCTCATTTTATTTCCTATCCTATATCGTTTCATGCCTTTTTTCCCCTGCTCCACCTCCTCTGTCCATCCTCGCTCTCCCTCTTCTCCTTCAGAGCCCTTGGATGAGCAGCGTGTGGCCCAGTTGTTGAGGCGTTTCTCCACCGACCTCAGCCTGGGCCGCCACCTCTCTCTGGACGGGGCGCTGGCCCACCACCTCCACCAGTGCTCCTACCACCTCCGCCTCTTCCGAAACTGGCTCATCTCCGGCCAGGACCCCGTAGAGTACCTCCACGGTCAGCCCCCTGGCCCCGCCCCCACACCCGCAGCCTCACACCCTGTTCAGCCGCTGCTCACGGTTTTCAGTTGGGACTGTGCTTGTTCTGTGGTGGACCATCATGCTTTGCCTCTTGATGTTTCTGCATGCTTGCCTGTGTCTGTGGTTATGCAGATTGCAAGCTGGAGTGGTGTGAGGTTTTGGGGCAATCTGCAGTGGTGTTAGTAACCCACCCCCTGCCCTTTTTGCCAATACATAAATCCTCTGTTATTTTTGTTTTGTTCCTAAAGCTTTTTCTGTCAAATAAAATTGAAGGCACATATTTCGCAATTTAGGTGTACCAAGATATAAAATATAGGGGCGCCACTAAAAAACGAATTTAATTTTGAAATAATCTACCAATTGTTTCTTCAATTAATTGTTTGGTCAATCTAATAAAGGCAGAAACTTAAGTAACTGATTAAAATGCATCCTAAACAGAAATACAGAAAATGATACCATTAAATCTTAGCATTCAGATGTCAATTTTAAGATTTGGGCTGCCATTATGATGAATGTCCGACACTTAATACTTTGCAGGTTAACATTTCAGACTTTTTGTCTGTCCCACTTTATTTTTCCCTCACTCAAAGTAAAAGAAAACATGTACACTCCCCAAAGTACATTACCAACAATGACTTGTATATTGTAAATTCACCAAAAAGCAGTTATAATTTATATACCAAGCCAAAACAAATTGGCATTACTATTCTGATTGAATGAATTACGCACATAGCAACACACCTTTTCACTGTTACTTCTTTCAGTTTTAGGTTTAGGCCACCTAAAAATACAAACACTTTGTTTATCTTGGAAGGAAATCTAATTGCAGTAACAGCAGACAAGGGGCAAAATAACTTCTTTGATAAAATGACCAACAAGAAATAATACAAACTGAGCAGTGTTCACTCTCCCCAAAAGCTACTAATATTCAGACTTTGTAGCAGAAACCATCAAACTGTCATATTTCTTCTGCCTTTTCTTTTATCAGATTTTACTTGATCTAAACCAGGAATTGATCGTTTGAGACGGTATTTTATAGCAGCAAAAATCCTGCTGCTCGTGTTACGTTTCTGGCTTTTTGTAGAGAAAACATTTTACATTCCTAGAACCAACGGTGTCCATATCAAAACACTAAGGCTATACCTACCAGTACGTAAAGTATACAGTAGGAAATAAATAGAACCATATACATAATCAGCATATTCCTCTACAAACTGTTTATAAATCAACATATTGCATGTAGAATCAGATTGGCAGTTGGTCCTTGATGGCATAATATATGAATATGTATATGTTTAGGTGACACATAAGCAGGTTGCTGCTGTAGTAAGGCTGCTGACAAAGCTGCCTCCGTTCAAGATTATAGTTCCTGTTCCAATTAGATCATCTATCAGCACTAGCCAGCGTCCATGTTTCTGAACGGTACAGAAACTCTGTGGAATCAGCAGTCCTACCTGACTATAACCAGCATGTGGATCCTGCTTGTTTGCTGTACATTTACTCTGGATGTATATGAGCGCAGTAAAAACTGCCTTCTCTTGACGTGTTTAGACGATAGAGGCAAGCTGTGGTTTGACGCTTTGTGATCGTGAACGGCTCTGGTGACTTGGTTGTGAACTAACAGTGGATGAAGTTCCTTGGGTAACGTTTGTTGAACACTAGCTGGACAGCTTTTCCTACCGCTGTTAGAGCAGCAGATTCTGTGTGTTGGGACTCACCACAAACTCAGTTAGGGATGTTTTCGAGACCTGCTTGCTTTTGCAAATCAAACTAGATTCTAAGAGTGTGTAGACTTGTTGCCGTTGGATTTGGTGTCATGTTGTCTTGGCATGGTGTTTTTGCAACTTGCCTGTGTGGAAGTGAACAGTAGGGGCTGGCAAGAGTTTTAGGGCTTGTTCAGAAACAGGAGCAGGATGAAGGAGCACCGCGTGGAGGTGTAGTATATGGGTGGCATCTGGGCATTGGTGTCGGGTGACAAGTGGCTTTCTGCCTGCTCCTCTTCTGACTTTGAGGTCTAACTGAGTGCTGATGTGCCTGCGGGCGTCATGTCTCTCCTCTGATGCAGGCTTCGAAGGCTGCTCCATGGTACCCTCCATCTATCCGCTGGAAACTCTGCACAACTCGCTGTCGCTAAAACAGGTCGCAGAGTTCCTCGCCGGTGTGTGCCAGAGTGCAGGGGATCCACACACGAGGACTACCAGAGGTATAACAAACATGTCATTTACTGCAAACATCATAATCATCAGCATCCGGAATCAAGTTTCAACTATATGTACCAATGTTTTTGCATAAGTGACTAATGGGAAAAGCTATTTTTTTTAATTGGTCCACTATTAAGCTATAGCGCCACAGCTGGCTAAAGACGGTGACATGCATTGCTCCAGGCAATAATGCATCATTGTACATTCACCAAAAGTGCTTATTTTTGGTACGCAACTTCCCCAAGCAGCGATACTTAGTAACTTAATCACACAAAAAATAAACATTGTTGTTCCCAGTTTTGAATCCCAGTTTGAAAAAGACCCATTCAAAACCCCTTTTATCCTGATCTGTATTTCTTTTGTTTATCCCTGCAGCTCTGCAGTCGGCCATGTTGGACGCACAGAACCATCCGTCAGTGGACTCGTACATCCCTCAGAGAGTCTCTTCCTCCATCTCTCCCAGATCTCGTTCTGACAGACCTCCTTGGTGTGAGTATCCGAGCATCCCCATGTTCCATCCGAGATTTGACATTTTTAGGTTGGCCTCCCACGGCTGTCTCAGTTTCAGACGTGTGAGGGTTATTTATAGAACACAAATCGTCCATTGCAGCCTCAATTTTGTGTCTCTGTTGCTGTCTGTTATCTCTGGTCTTTTCTTGCAAATGACACATTATTTATTTCATTTCTTTGTGCTGCTTTTCCCCCCCAGGGATGATGTTTATCCAAAATGAATCATAAAAATGTAGTCTTGTGTTATTTCCTCTCACACTTGGTTTATATTCTGCTCCCACAGACAGCAGCGGTCCATCCAGCACAGTATCCAGCGCCGGGCCTTCTTCTCCCACCACAGCAGACACTTCCCCACGCTTCAGTTTCAGTGATAAGATCTCTCTCACCCCCCAGAGCAGCGAGGAGACTCAATCGTCTCAAAACATTTCCAATCAGCCGGCACCCGCCTCTGGGTCACAGGGAAATGACCCGACCACAACCCTCGCCGATGTCCCTCTGACTCCTAATAACTCATCAGAGGAAGACGGGGAGCTTGGCCCCACTACAGACCGCCAGCCTAACGATCCTGAACACACACAGGAAGTGGCTCCTCCGGCTAGGGAAGCCTCAGATCCCTGCCCGATTCCGCCCTGCTCGCCGTTAGCGGAGCTCACCCTCTCTCGGATGGAGGGCTACTGCCTCCCCGGCTCTCTGCCCGTGCTGCTGGAGCTCCGGGAGAGCAGCAGCGAGGCAGGCTCCAGCTCCCAGACGCCCCAGTCCCCCGAGGGACTCGACGAGTTCTTCGACACCCAGGAGTCCATGGAGCTGTGGATGGACAGCCCAGAAGATGTCCCCCAACCTGAGACGCCTCTAGATGGTGGAGCAACTCAATCAGCAGAGCCGTAGAGCATGGAGACTTTCAGAACAGATCCGTCAGACACTACTGTAACTGTACATCCTGGCTGTCAATCATGAGCAGTGAGGCGTTGTACTGTGTGACAGTCGCCCTGGCCTCCTCCTGCTTGATGAATACTGTGTGTTGAGTAATAATGAATGGGCAGCTGATCCTCTCACTAGGCTCTGCTTAGAATAATCATATGACAGTGCCATAAGTGCTGTTCATCGCCTTTTAGAAAGCACATCGGGGCTTGCCAGTGACGCCACTGAGCATCCTCTGACAGTCTACTGGTTCTGTCTTTATAGACGTAGAGAGCCAAGTGTTGTAAGTGGAAGCTTTATCGTCAAACTCCCTGTTGCTGTTGCTTATTAGCGGTTACACAAACCTTTCCTTAAAGCTGGATTCATCAGTTTTGGCCACTGGGAGGCAGAGCGAGACATTTTATCACATTATAAAACTGTTTAAACTCTGATTTATTCTCCACCCATAATCTCAAAAGAAATGTTCTTAAAGAGGCCTTAAGAAATAGTTTCCAAATGTTATGTGTTCAATTGATTCAAAGTGATCATGGAGATATTGATCAATGGAACTTTAACTTGTGTCGTCTTACCTTTTAGCCTTTACCTTTGGACAGATGACGTTTTCCCGTGATCAGCTTCCATAACCTCCATCATAGTCCCGTGACGGGTATCAGGGTTTATGTCCTGGCATCGGGTCCTTTGTTTGTTACAGGATAATGTTACTTATAAGCTCACTTATTTTATTAGAAACACAGGAAGTAACTTGCAAGGCCTTGAAGATATAATCTGTGGCTTTTCTGCTCTTCGTCTTACCCCAGCGTGTGTTCTCTTCTGAGCTTCTTATGTTTAGTATCTGCGTTTGAATTTTAAAGAAAAAACAAACAAAAGCTAAATATTTGTTTCTGTCAGAATGTTTTTGTTATAATGTCAGTTAAAAAAAGGTGTCCGTAAATCTCCAGGTCAAGCTGCGTACATCGCCTACAGCCAAAGTCCTTAATCCTCATCGGAGATTTAATATAATCGGTAGAAACTGATAGATAAAAAAAACATTTATTAAGAAATGTCATCTTAATACTCTTCTGGTATTTTTGATACCCACATCAGATATCTTATTGTACCATAGCTATTGTATATGTGTTGGTCAAATCACCTCATGATGTGGGAAAATATGAAAGCTAATTCCTTTTATCAGCGAACAAACGGGAGGAGCGATTTACATTCAATGTGCTTTTATATAGGCAAGCAGGTATGTAGCAGGTGTGTGTGTGTGGGGGGGGGGGGGGGGCTACACACATGATGATAAGCAATTCAGGTACATGAGTACGCTGAAGTGCTATTCTGTGTTCAATCAGTGAGATGTGATGTTACATTACGATATAGTGTAGAGGGGGGAAACAACTGTGAGTCAGGGAGACTGACCTGTCACCCTGTCGGTTTGTAAACAGATACTCACTCTGTTTTGCTTTTGTGCTGCAGGTGCTGTTTGCTTGAAGGGTCAATTTACTCAAATTACAAAAAGCTGAAAACATTTGCTCCCTTGAGGTAAGTGAGGCAGTGCAGATAGTTTTGGTTGTATTCGTTCTGGGTTTCAGAAATTGTGCTCAAAAAATCTGTAGCAGTGGGTCTTTCCAGAACTAGAGACCCCATCACTCTGGATAGTTCAGAGTGCATCTTAACCTCAGGTTGAATATCAGTAAGTGCTAACTAAGTAGGGTTTTTTGATCATTTCAAGTATGCGTTTTAAAAAAAAAACCTGAATGGAAAGAATTTGAAAAAAGGAAAAGTTTTGCAAAAGAAAGAGTTTAAAGATCTGACTATAACATAGCGTATATACAATATGGGACAAATGTGTAGTACAATTCATGAAACGAGCATGAATGTGACATGTATACATCATGTTTCCCATACTCAGAGGCTTTAAGGCTCATCTTGTTGGATTTTCTTCTGCAGTGCTTTATGGAACATAACTGAAGAGTCAGCAACCGACTGTATCTTAATGCGCTCAACTCCTGGTATATGGATAGTAGTAGGGAAGGAAAAGTGCAAAAGGTTAGCTTTTTTCTTTACCGATTTTCTAGAAATTCATTTAAAATCTATGCTACAGTTTGATAGAACACGGTGTAACAAGTTGCACCTGTAACTACAACACCCTGAGTGATGTCACAATGTGAGTCTTGAGGCCTTACTTCAGACCTGAGAGTACCATAAACCAAACTGTTCCCTTCTGGTGCATCAGAGGAAAGGCAGAACACTCAGATACATATCTCAACATTTGGGCTCCATGGCTAAATGCCACTATAGGCTAGAAAAATCTGTTTTGTAATTTCTGTGAATTGACCTTTAAAACCTGCTCAGAGTGCTTCGTGAACTGAAATCACATGTCTGACATTTCTCCCTGTTGGATCATCAAGCTTAGGTAAGGATGCATAATGTGTGTGTTCTTCAAATCTGTACTAACTCTACTGAGCTGATTCCACAAATGCTCTCTGTCCTGGTTTAAACCGCCCGTCTGTGTGAAGCTTAATCATTTGGATTTAGAATGGTCGTTATGTGAAAGATACACAATATTCTGTATTGCCTCTAACAATGTTACAAATACAGCTATTGGAGTGTAATTCAAATGTGTCGGTTCTACTTCATTATTTGCTTTAGTATCATTAAAAAAAAAATCCAGTTTAAGAACAAAATCTTTAAAGTTTACATGAACTTTTGAAAATGTTTAGAATTTCAGAAATGATGTGCGAAATGTAACACATGTATACAAATTCTTCATTTTTAAATATAATTTAAATTTTACAAAATAAAAAATCAATAATGACATTTTCTCTGCCCAATAATCCATATCATCTTTCCCAGTAGACGAGGCAAACGGAGGAAAAGTATTAGACCTGGTGGATTACAACATGTTACATAAAAACTGATGGATTGCTTTGAATATGGCAGATGAATATTTAACACCTAACGTGTATGGGGATGAATAAGTGATAAACTAAGAGCATTAATCTGCTGCTCAAACTGTCTCCACTCTTCTCCTTTCAGGTTTATATTTTACCAGAATTAAGTAGTCCAACCAATAAAAAAACAGCCCCAGATCAACAGCACCGCAGGATGGTCCTCCCTGACGATGATACTCAGGTGTCGGCAGGTAAATGACCTCTGAAGTCACACAGCGTTACTTTCTGAAATAAATCTGTTTTAGTTTCGAGACGCCTGCAGTCAGCATTATCACGTCGTTTGCTGTCAGTGTGAAGGTCACCGGTGAGAGTAATGTAAGCTGAGGAGGAAAGAAAAGCAAGAGGGACGCAGGGGAAGGTCATATGTTATTTATTACTGGCAGGTAGATTAATGTTGTGAGTGGAAGAGAATATTTGAGTAGAAGAGGAAAATATTCAGAAAATGTTGGATATTGGGTTTTTTCTCCATTTTAAGAACAAAATAAAATATACATTAAATTATATTTATATAAACATTAGAATAAAAAATAAATTAAAAAAGCTAGCCATAAAAACACAAGAAGGTCAAGTAAAATAAAAAAGGTTTTATAAACTACAATATAAAACATCATCTCCTAAAATATAAATGCTATTTAAGTGTACAGTAGTACATAATAAGACTGAGGATTACATTTCTATACTTTTAAAAATGTTATATCACTTTAAATATTTCGATGTACCGGTAGTATGAAGTGGCTGGTCTGTAATATAGTTTCCTTGGTCTATGATTTCATAGCTTATGATTCAAAATCAAATTTTTCAAATGTAACGTTTTTATTCTGGCAAGTTCATGTTCAAACGTGTCTTCGTTGGTTCAATTAAGTAAAAGTGGCGACAGCACAGTTAAAACAAAATATATAACTATTAAAGATGTATTGCCTTTTCTTCAGCAGAATGAACTTAATGTTTCAAATAATAAAATAACTATTTGATTAGTTTATAATTAAAGTTATACTGGAATATTATAATGGTAAGGTGTAAATAGCTTCCTATTGTTGTACCTGGTTTAGCTCATATTTACTTTGTTATATTAGTTTATCTAGGTTCACTGTATTCATTCACCATATTTTAAAAGCACATCATTTTTGTTTGTGAAATGTTAATCTGTAAATTATCTACAGCGAAGCATACAATTAAAGTGCTTAATGCACTTAAAATACAACAGTGCTTGTATAATACTATTGTGCTAAATGTCAACATAATATTCTCTTCAAGTGAAACTCAGTATGTGACATCTTTAAATGACACTCAGCCCGGTACTTGGATATTGTCCTCTTCTAAAGAAAAGGGAAGGTGTCACAGCTGTTGCTCTGTTCTCCACCCTGGTCATGTGACCCAGGAGGTGATGTCATTGCAGCATTCATTCAGCTGGATTGTGCTCCAACTTCCAGCCTGCTCCTTCCTCCGTCACAGTATCAGCTGCACAAAGACCAAACAGTGTCTGACAAAAAAACAGCGAGTTGAAACTCCACCAGCACCAACTGTTGAAAAGGGTCTTAGAGTCAGAACAAAGCCCACAATGTTCCCATGTCCCACTAGATGACATCATCCTTACACTGAGGCAGTGAGGAAGGAAAACTGGTGTCTGCAAAGCCTTGGGTTGTGTGTCGGGACCGTCGGGACTCAATAGGGTTGTATAGGAGATCTGAGAGGTTGTTCCTGTTTCTGTTGGACATTTATAAGCCAAAGAAGTTACATCCTAATGACTATATTTTCAATCACAGACTACAGATCAACATTCAGACTTTGTATTTGGACATCTTGACATACTGTCTTAATGGAGTGCCATCAACATTTGTTAAGATATTCATGGTGCCCAGAGGATGAACCATGATTACTTTAATAATCAAATTAAAGGGGACCTATCATGCAAAATGCACTTTTGTACATCTTTTATACATGAATATGTGTCCCCGGTGTTCCAGGGAACTCACCAAGTGTCAGAAAACACAACCCTCTCTATTTTCCTCCATACCCAAATCTCTAAAAAAGGGGCTGCAACGGATCTGATAAAAACTGATCCAGATTTGAACACTGTCCTGACGTCAGGACGGTGGCGCTACGGCTATTGGGCCAACTCTCCACCTATCAGGGGAATGTGGGGTTGGGCCACGGCCGGCCATTGCCGCTCGAAAGCGCTGGAGACGCTGTAGTACATATGCCAGGCCTGTAAGTGGCGCTGTAGTCTGCCACAAAAGCAGTGAAGAAGACTTCCTGTGCATGGTTACCATGGTTACCCTTCTGTTTATTCTCCGCTGTGGCTCTTTTTCTCCCTCCCCGAGGCAAATGTTTGCTCCCGCTGCTTTAATTCAATGCAATCCCTCCCCGTCGAGGCAAGCACTGTAATTCTCTCCGGTTAGTCCACCAGCAGATGACAAACACCCACCTCTCCGCCTCTTCCAAGGAATGAGGGGACCGTGCGGCAGAGTTTCAGTTAGGTTTTCTTTCGCCGGTCAAGATGTCCGTTAAAGTTTAAATCTTCCGGACAAAATTAGAAAAGTGCCGGTCAAAGGTCTTCTTTGTTATTTATTGAGCTTTAAAACAAATGAATAACGACTCTATATAATAATAGGCTATAATAAAACACGGAGTTGATCAGAGCGGCTCCCCTCTCCTGCAGGGGGGCGTGGTCAGCTGCAGCTCACAGAATCAGCCCCCTGCAAAAACAGGGCTGGAGAACAGCACATAGAGCGAAATGAGGCATGGCTAAAATGCATGATCTGTTTGGTATTTTGAAAACAGAAACGTATAAATATACCTTATATAGGTATGGCCCTACAATATATCATTTAAATATAGCATGATAGGTCCACTTTAAGTTTTCTCTATCACGTCCAGGAGGTCAAATTGGTCGAATTATGACAAGGGAAGTTGAAATAATCTCTATTATAAAAACATATAATTGTCATCTGTTTAAAGGGGCCATATTAGGATAATTTTCAGGTTCATATTTGTATGTTGTGTCTCTCCAGTGACATGTTTACATGCTTTAATGTTCATAAAGCTCTTTATTTTTATCATACTGCCTGTGCTGCAGCAGCTCTTTTCACCCTCTGTCTGAAACCAGAGCCCAGTCTGCTCTGATTGGTTAGCTGGCCAACACTACACTCAGAGATGTCCTGTCCCTTAGCCTATCACGTACAATGTGTTGGAGCGCTTGCCAATAGAAGCTGAAGTGTTACATAGTGATGTCACTTTGTTATGGAAGTAAACAAAGGAGTCCAATGGAGGCATTTCAGGCAGGGTGGGACTGTGGGAATGTTTGGATCATTGGGATTCGAGCCTTTGCAGACCATTTACATGCACTAAAACCACACTAACCAACTACAGAAAAGGGAAAACCTAAAAAGCACAATAGTGCCTTTTTAAAGAGGAAAAACATGAATGAAATACAATGGTACGGGGAAAAAAAGAGGGAGACATTCTTCTTCAGTAAATGATGTTTTTATTGGTCTTCACCACACTTTTTCCCTTTTCAACAATAAATCAGTTTTTCTATTTTAACTTTTTTTAAGCATTTAAAGATAAAGATAATATTGCACTTAAAACAAGAGATGAAGCAGAAAGGAGAAAAATAAACGATCACAAGGCTTTCTTTTCTGCACAGCCAGGGTTACATGTGCCTCCTTAGTTCCACACAGCTTAACTTCTTTAATATACATCTTTTAAAATAGCATTTCTATGGTAAGTCGCATTTTTTCATCAGCTATTACATTACAGGAGAACTCAAAAGTTACACATGCACGTACAAGCAGGGCTCACTGAAATCCAACAGTCTTTATGATGATTTGTTTCACGGCAAACAAGTTTGAATGCCCACAGATATTTATATTTTCTTATTTTTTGTTGCACGATACGAAAATGCAGCTGTGAGTGTATTTTAAGCATTGTCTGGAAAAAGGTGTGAGTAATAGGAAATCCTTTTATAGATATAAATGTATTGATATGAGTGTCTGGCAGTTTGGGTTTTGAGTGTCTGCTCATATGAGTAGTGTTCGTTTGTTATTATTAACCTTTACAGTGATGCAGTATTAAACAGGAATGCATTGACCCTCTTTTATCAAAGACGCTGTTAATGGACCTTTTTAAATCAGCACTGAGTATTTCTTATTTTTATCATTTAGGACAGAAAATCATAATGTGTGTCATCTAAATAAAGAAACAGGTTTTTGCCCTGCACAAAGTCCAGATGTATTGCAGGCTACAACAGTACGGTTGCTACCGCCCGGCGTGAGCGATGAGTCAGATGTACCACATGATGCACAGTAACCAAGGCAGCCAGGAGATCAAAGTCCTCCACGGAGAACGTAAAGGTAAATCTGCATCTTCACATTCAAATCGACTGGAGCCGCTGAGGGCCCCCTGCTTGTTAAAGAGCTATCGCCTTTATGTACATGCTTCTGTGTCCATGCATCGAGGGGACAACATATCATACAGGGGAATATCTGATCTGTAATGTGGATCATAAAAGAGCAACCCTGGTGATACGTGTTGGTCCTTGAGTTTTGTTGGGTAGTTAAGATTTGTTAAAAAGTACTTAAAACCTATCAAAATTTAAAATCATCAATATCAAATAAAAGCACCTATATTTATATATATATATATATATAATAAGTTAATTAAGTGTAACTTAAAAACATCCACTGATTTGCCACTGGAAGTTAAAATGTTAGTTAAATGTTGACAATTTTAAGAAAACAAGGTGTTTTTTTTTCTAAAAAGTAATTTAGCAAACTCTTTTCTACGATAATTAAAAGTAACCAGAAAAAAACTAAAACTGCCAATTTTTTCTTTGCAAATGCTGTTATTATGTGTTGCTTAATTTAAGAATGCTTAAAGTTTTGCACACTGGTTACTGGTTGTGCTTTTTCGAGTGGCAGCTGCAGGAAATCTAAAACGCACCATGGCGGTGCTCTTAAAAGTGCCATTTTATGCTCAATATGTACAACTCTTGACCTTGTTTTGTGCAATGATGTTCTCACCGACAAAAACTTACGACAACAGAGGAGACCAGCTCGCCGAAGCTTCGGCCGCAGAGCCGTGGACGCACCGGACATACCTTTTTTTAATTTCTACGACGAAAAACCACATTTCATTTCCCCGTTCCAGCAAAGCAGGACAGAAAGGCACATGTGGGTGACAGTCCAACCTCTAACCATCAAGCAAACCGACCACCTTTGTTCACCAGGCAAACACAATCTCTCCTCGCAACCACATGTTCCTAATGTTGTAGTGGAATACATTCGACGTTCTTTAACACAGCTTTAAAGATCTTTGAGGCGCAGCAACAGATATAAGGTTCATCAACCTTCCTCTAAGCTTGAGCGCTGTTTTATATGTTAAGAGATAAACGGGCAGAATCCAAAGATCAGGATGATGAATTTGTACTCGTTTCACCGCATCTGCCTTCAGTTCTCCTCATGATCCTCTGCAACAACGTGTTAACTGGAAATACACTGAAAGAATACACCAAAGACTACGGAAACAATTATAGAGAGAAATGTTTTTCTCCAGATCTACCGTAACAAATAACAGCCACCGAGAAAATCGTACTTTAAAGATTGATTTTCACTTTGAGTTTACCGTAGAAATATCACTACAATACAGATTTTTTAATATGCTTTTCCCTACGCTACGGCTAATATACTCAAAAGACAGATTGAACGTGTTCTATCGCACTATGTCAGGAGGCACAAAGTTCAACACTGGGACTGCCATTGTTTTAGAAGAAAGTTGAACGGGAATATAGAGTAAAGTTAGGGAAAGCTAATCACAAGTAGCCTGTAATAATGACTTTCGATTCAATTGATCACATTGAGAAAGGCTCGACGTTTTGTCCACGATGCACTCGATTTTGTTGCTGGCTTTTAAGGTGTGCAAACTTGTGCTTTCGTTTAGGCCAATTAGAAGACAAGCAACCGATTGTTAATTTACGTTGTTTCCTATATGATTCTCTTTTTCTTTTTACAATGGGCATTTTTTCTGAGCCAATAAAGACGTCATTGTCTCACAGGGTTTGGTAAAAAGATATGTAAAGGAACAGAAAAAAACTCTCCCATTCATAGGCCTGAGAAATAATAATATTGTAGTGGAGGACACAGTCAGAAAACTACCATTGTAATACAAATGCTGATAGCCACAACAAGCTTATAAATAAATACAAATCTAGAAAAACATAGACAGTTATCCAGGTCTGTTTCTGCTTTTGGTTAAGTGCCCAAAGCAGAGGCAGAGTTGCATATCAGGCTATAGAGAAGAGCAATTAAAACCAGATCTACACTGGGGAGGCCAGGAGGAGGGAGAGAGGGAAACGAGGGTCTTAAAACTCGATCTTGCAGGCGGGGAAAGACTCGTCCTGCATAACAACGGTGCTGCTGGAGGCCAGGACCATGATGTTGAGTTCCTGCTGCCTCTCATGAGTCTGCTGGTACCAGTCACGGGTCACCTCTGTGTCATGGGTGGGGATCAGCGTGACCTGAGCGACAAGACAAGAGACCAGGAAATATCATGACTGACTCGGTAGAGAGGATAACAGCATGATTTATCATGGTGTATAGAAAACCAAGAGCTAGTATACAACAATCAAATATTTCAAGATAATTCATGTTTCATAGAATGTGTGGAGAAATCGGCAGTAAATGAGAGCCATTTTAACTTAAAGGCTTAAAGACAGAGTATGATTGTTCACTCTCTTCTATCTACATCCTCAGGGAAATATTATGCTTTCGCACACTTAGTTTTTACTTTGCCGTCGAGGGGAGGGACTCAGACTCAATCCAAGATTCATTGGGTGCACACATATCTCCCTTTTTACTATAAATGACCAGACTTTTGTTGGAAATGTATCTGTCTTGGCCTTTTAACCTGTTAAGCTCTGAGCCTGTTTTTCAGGTCTCAGGCTCGAAAATGACATTCCCAGAACAAATGACCATATCTTCCCTTCTAAAAGGGTTAAATTAATAATCTTTTTTCTCAAAGTAATGATAAACCTGTGAGTTGGATGTAGAAAAGTCAGAATCAATATAGATGTTTTTTATTTTAAAGAAAATTCAGATTTTACATAGTAAAAAACTGTAAATTATAATGTCCGTCCAAATATTATTTTTTACTTATAGTGAAAATTACCCTTGGATGATGGGTTAGTAGACTAAAAGCTTTAGGAATCCAAAGTACAACATATAAGTACCCTGTATCAAGATTGATGCAAAACAAGTGACATTTGACCTTTTTAGAGAGGTTTAGCCAAAAACACCACCTCTGAGGTGATTTGGGTGAAAATGTTTTTTTTTCCATATCTCTGGCCCCCCTTTGTCGATTTTGATGGTTGACACCTCTTTCTGACCGTTAGAGCCAATAGAATCGAAGGGGGAGTCCCCCACACACACTCATTGTAAAACAAAAAGGTGGGGGCTTTGCGCATGTAATTTAGCATTAGAGTGAAACTATCTCTCGCTCTGACATCTAGAAACGGAAAAGCAGTCTCATTGCTCATGGATTATCAGAAATAATTTCAAAGGGACACAGACACATTGGATTAACCTATGGATTAACTTCAGCAGCGTTTTTATCGTTTTAATGCCATTGAAGACCACTTTGGAGAGACTACAGAGCCAAGGTAAGCATGTTAGCATGTTTAGCTACCTAGCGCCACATGTTTTGATGTCCGTTTTTGTTTATAATGTCGCGATTTCGTATAATTCAGTGATAATGAGGGTACCCTTCGATTCTGTGTCACCTCACGATGTGAAACGATGTCATGGATGTGGAGAAGAGATAAATAATAAGGTTTTGTGAGTGATTTTCTGTGCAGTAATCATTTTTCGCTCGTTGCTAATTCAGAGGCTCAGTGTTAGCATTGTGGGATTTCTTTTGAAAAAAAAAAAAAAATGATCAGTTACTGTAGATGAGTTTCTTCCCGTTACATGGATATAAAACATTCATAGTTTGTTAAATGAACATGCCCTCAGACACTGTTTCCTGCAAGATGTTGCGGCAGTGCCCCGGTACCGGGGTCTCTCAGGCTTAACAGCTTAAAGAGTGCAATTGCTTAACCTGTTACGCACCGCCCCCCCGGTACCGGGCGGATAAACGCGTCATTTGCAGGAAACAACGTCTAAGGAATCTTAATATTTAATAAACTATGAATGTTTTATATCCATGTAACGGGAAGAAACTCAGCTAACTGATATTTTTTTTTTAAATCCACAATGCTAACACACTGAATTAGCCACGAGCGAAAAAAATTTAACCTAAAACTGCACCTAAACTCACTTATAACTCCCTTATTACTTATCCTAGATGCACAGCCAACCCCTCGTTTTGCATCTACTGGAGACACAGAATCTGGGGGTGCCCACCTCAACACTCAGTGATAAACATTTGCGACGCTATAAACTAAAGCGTACATCATAACATGTGGAGCTAGGTAGCTAGAAACGCTAACATGGCTTACCTTGGTCAAAACTGGTCTTCAATGGCATTAAAACGATAAAAAAACGATGCTGCAGTTAATCCATAGGTTAATCCAATGTGTCTGTGTCCTCTTTGAAATGATTTCTGATAATCCATAAGCAATAAAACTGCTTTTTAGTTTCCAAATGTCAGAGCGAGAGATCGGTCCACTCTGCTGCAAAATTACATGCGCGCAGCCCCCACCTTTTCTCTTCACAACGTGTGTGTGTGGGGGCCTCCCCCTTCGATTCTATTGGCTCTAACGGTCAGAAAGAGGTGTCAACCATCCAAATCGACCAAGGGGGGCCAGAGATAAAAAACATTTTCACCCAAATCACCTCAGAGGTGGGGTGGTTTTGGCTAAACCTCTCTAAAAAGGTCAAATGTCACTTGTTTTGCATCAATCTTGATACAGGGTACTTATTATATGTTGTACTTTGGATTCCTAAAGCTTTTAGTCTACTAACCCATCATCCAAGGGTAGTTTTCACTATAAGTAAAAAAGAATATTTGGACGGACACTATAATTTACAGTTTTTTACTATGTAAAATCTGAATTTTCTTTAAAATAAAAAACATCTATATTGATTCTGACACTTCTACATCCAACTCACAGATGTAACCTTGCTTTGATAAAAGAAATTATTCATATAACCCTTTTAGAAGTTAAGTTGTAGTCATTTGTTTTGGGCATGTCATTTTCGAGCCTGAAACATGAAAAACAGGCTTGGTGCTTAACAGGTTAAGGTGTATGTGTATTGTGGCCTACAGGGACAACATCTTTAAATATGCCAAATTATTGTCAGCATCAAGCTGAGTATGGCGTCGAAAATATTACCTGGAGGTTTGAACCCCACTGAGCTTTGCCATCAAGCAGTGCATCGAGGACTCCCCGGCTTGGTTCACCACTTGCTGTATCGTTCCCGCTGACCACATAGTACGCAGAGCGAATGCGTTTGAAAAACTCTTGGTCCACATTCTTGGCACTGCAGTGGTTTGGAATGTAGGCCAAGTCCACATAAATAGGAAGGCCAGAAGCAGCTGCAGAGCCAGACTTCTGAGAGCCTGAGTGAAAGAACAAAAAATTGCTGTCAATGTGCAAAAAACATTTAACTTACTAAATCTGAAAAGCTTTCACATTTTTTTCATAATTTGCCCACCTGAACTGCTCTTGACACCGTTAGTCAGGCTCTTGCCAGGGTTGTAGCTCGACCTGGAGAGGTCATCATCTTTGGAGCCCTGTCCGTCAGACAGGCGGGACATACGTGAGCTTTTGTCTGACTCCTTCTTCTTCAGTGAGGCGGTACGAGGGGATGCCGTCTGTTTGACTGGCATGGGAGACTTCTTGCGCCTGGCCGGGGATGCTGACTTGGTTTTACCCGAAGTCTTTTTCAAGCTCTTGACTTTTGGCTCTTTCTTAACCAAGCCATTATCCAAAGTGTCAGGATCAACCATGCAAACGTCTGGACGTGGGGGGTGAGGGCATGGGTCCATGACGGGAGCAGGAGGAGGGTCAGTGCTCCTCCTAGAGGAATGATGGCTGCCCCCTCCCGTGGCCGATAATTTATCAACAGGCATATAGTCTGCATCTTCATCAGAGTCCATGTTGCCCTCACCGGCGACTGTGGGGTATTCCTCAGTGCCTGGAGGCCCATCAGAGTCTGACTGAGACCCTGAAGACTCGCTGACAGAGGTTGGTGGTGTGTCCTCTGTGGCCAGACCCAGCCCTGCTGACATGCCACCAGCTTGGTGCAGGGAGCTGCTCTCCCTGCTGTGTGACGGCTGTTTGTGAGCCCGACTCTTGACCGACAAATCATTCTCATCGGCCTCCTGCGATTGGTCACTTCTGCGGCCATGCTCCTCATCATCCTCATCGCTGGATACATGACGCATGCATGGGTTGATGAAGGAAGGTGAGAGGTCATGTTTTGCCTGCCTGTACTCGGAGGAAGAATATCCGGGGGAGCTGCGGCTGGTATAGGAGGAGGTGGCTCCCATGGGCACATCGCCAGCAAGGTCCTCATCGCTGTCATCATCGTCGTCATCCTGGCCTCCTCGGCTGCACTCTTCAGCGTAGAACGGAGAGTGAAACGGCTGATCAGTTGAAGAGAGTGACAGTGGGCGAACAGGGTGCTCTGGCTCCATCTCACACTCCTCTTCAAACTCATCTTCATCACGGTAATGGGGAGGGGAGTCTCCGGGCACCATTCCCATCTGTGGCTGTGACATCTCCCACTCGAAAGAGCTCTTGTAAGCTGCAGCTCCAACTTTGAGTTCCACCTTAGCAGGTCCTGAAGATGCACCACTGGATTCCGCTCCAGCAGGTAGGGTGGTGCTCAAGCTGACCTCTGTGGGTCCGTTTGTTGTGTCTGGCTTGCTGACTTGGAAGGGTGAGGGCATGTAGGACCCAAGAACCTCAGGGATTGCACCAGCTGTCTTTTCACTTGCAGCTGGAAGAACAGGCTTGTCTGTAAATGAGAGGCCACCAACCGGGCCACTAGAAGGAGACTTTCGAGTCATCTCGCGCATGTACGCGTCCTCATCTTCTTCTTCTTCACTGCTGTCCGTCTCCTCAAAGTAATGCTTGCCTTCTATGTCTGGGCGTGGTGAGGAAGTAACACCAAAAAGAGCAGCACTGGCTGCCTCTTTGTCCTTGGATAGCTCTGCAGGTTGAGCAAACGGTCCTGCCGAGGCCTTGAATCCAACAGCTGTGTCTGGCTTCGACCCTTGAGACCATTCCGGCTTATAGAAACAGTCAGATTGAGGCCCCTTGTCCATAAGGCCACCTAAAGAAGCGGTATGCTCCTTCTTGTCCCCTGCAAAGGCAGTGGACGAATGTGAGGGGAAAGATTTGACCTCCTCAAATGGGCTGTGAGGTGAGAAACGGGTAGACTCAGCCGTGGTTGTAGCTGTGATGTGTCTTTCAGAAACTTCTAGATAGTCGTCTTTAGCACCAGTGGAGCCGGACAATGGAGAATCCATGGCAAGTGAGTGTTCATCTTTAAAAGAGGAGTACTCAAAAAGAGGTTCGGCAGGAGTCTCCAGCTCCTCTCCGAACTGGCGGCTGGTGGAAAGGGAGCCTGAGGTGGAGGAGGAGTAGCTGTAGGCCGAAGAAGAGGAGTACCCAGGGCCAGCAGTTGTTGTGTACTGGAAGTTTGAGTCCAGGGATTTCTTGCTCAGAAGGTCTGGTGTTTTCTGTTTCTCAAAATCGGGATCAGCCCTGTCACTCTGGTAATAACTGTCCTCTGCTGATTTCAACGTGAGATCCTCTTTACCTTTGTCTGTGTGACTTGATACAAATGAGTCTTTCTCAACTTTTCCATATGAGTACTCAAACCCTGAGGAGGAGCCAGAGAAACCTGTAGCTCCTAAATCCATTGGCTTTCCACTGGATGAGGAGTCAATCTGAGCTTTGTTTTCAGCCTTTTTAATTGAAGGGGGGCTGCTCGGCTTCCCCTGGCTGTTATAACCGTACCCCGCCATTGAAACCATAAATTCAGGCCTATTTGAGCCAAACATTTCACTGACTGGACTCTTTCCCTCCTTTTCAGTCTTCCCCTGGCTGTTATAACCGTACCCCGCCATTGAAACCATAAATTCAGGCCTATTTGAGCCAAACATTTCACTGACTGGACTCTTGACCTCCTTTTCAGTCTTCCCCTGGCTGTTATAACCGTACCCAGCCATAGAAACCATAAATTCAGGCCTATTTGAGCCAAACATTTCACTGACTGGACTCTTTACCTCCTTTTCAGTCTTCCCCTGGCTGTTATAACCGTACCCAGCCATAGAAACCATACATTCAGGCCTATTTGAGCCAAACATTTCACTGACTGGACTCTTAACCTCCTTTTCAGTCTTCCCCTGGCTGTTATAACCGTACCCAGCCATTGAAACCATAAATTCAGGCCTATTTGAGCCAAACATTTCACTGACTGGACTCTTTATTTCCTTTTCAGACCTCTCTTTGGCACCTTTCTCCATATCAGAATCGACAGCACATTCGTCTTCGTCCTCCTCGTCCTCGTCCTCTTCGTCTTCCTCGTCGTATTCATCTGCAACTTCATCATCATCATAGTCCTCCTCATCCCTTGCAGTTAGTTTTCGCATATCAATCTCCAAGCCTGCTCCTTTCTCACCGTAACCTGTGGCGGCAGGTTTGTCAGTTTCAAAGGCTGTCATTGAGGAGTACGTCTGGGGCTTTGTGCCGTCAGTCTGGCTTTTAAAAGAGGCACCTTTTTCTGATGATAGAGACGTGGACGAGGCCTCGGGTCTATCAGCCACTGAAGGGAATCGGCTTCCTGTGTTGTATTCAAAGGTCGCCTTTCCTTTTACCTCTTCAAATGGAGGTTTAGCAGAAGTACTCTTGGAGTCGAGCCACGAAGGGGAGGAATCCTTTCCCAGAGAATCGGTGAATCCCCCCTTCTCTGACATCTTGTCCGTAGATGTTACCGGTGATGGCGCCTGGGGTTTATTGGCATCTATTTCAATCTGTGCCGTGTCCTTGTCAACTTTATCTAAGGAATCCTGGTTATATGAATCAGAGTCCACTGAGCCGTAAATGTCCCCGTAAGAGAATGTTTTGCCATGCACATAGGGTGTGTCCTGTCTTATATATATTGCCTTTTCTTTGCTCTCCTTCTCTGGAAAGTTGTAGAGACTGAAATGAACATTTTTCTCAGAATCTTTAGAATCAGTTTTCTCTGTACCTTCATTTTCTACTTTGCTTTGATCTGCTGGTAAGGGCTTATTTGATCCTATCCTACTTGGGATATCATCATCATTGTCATCCTCATCTTCATCAGTGTACATCACTTGAGGTTTGGGTTTCACCTCTGTGCTGAATGCCACCTGTGTCTTGTCCGACGTCTTGACTTCAGTTTCTGTCTTTGCAGATTTTGCCTCAGAGGCGAAGTCGTCGTCCAAGAAGCACCCTTCTTTTGCCTCCATAATCTTGGCCTTAACAGCGGGCTGTAGATTATTTTTGGCGAAAAAGTCTTCCTCATTGTCTTCAGGTGATTCTTCAGAATCTTCAGACTCTTCAGATGCTGACACTGTCTTGTCCCCAGCTGAGATAATGGCTGATTTCTGGGTGTCAGTTTTAACATATTTTTCTTGTGTCTTAAAAGATTTATCTTCTGTCGGAGAGTAGCCACTGCTCGTAGGCACAGACTGTGTGGGTGAAGCCAGCTTCATGGTAGAGTCATCTGGACTCAAACATCTTTCCTCACTCTCCTGCCTGGAGTGGGACTCTAAATCTAACCTAGGGGAGAAAGATGGAGGGGGTGAAACAGGCTTAATATCTTCCCCAGTCTTAAATCCTTTAGAAAGGGACTGGTTATATTTCACAGCCTGTGTGGTAGAGTACTGCATGGTAGAGAAGGGAGGGGGAGGAGGAGAAAAAGTGGCAGAGGGAGATTTCTCCTTCTCCTGGAGCATCTTGAAGGCTGCATGTTCATAGCCCTCTTGCAGTTTACCCAGAGGGATGTCAACGTTTGGAGTCTGGTCCTCATCCTCGTCCTCCTCATCATCTTCCTCTTCATGGACTGATTTGATCTTCGCATCAGTTTCCATTTCAGGAATGTTGGGCTGGTATTCATCAGAGGAAGGAGACTTGAAGCACTTGTCGTCCTCCAGAGAGGAGGTGGGTGAGATGGTTCCTGCTGAGTGGAGATAATCTTTGCCATGAGCGCGTGAGGGGATACTGTTCATTGTGTCCAGCAGGAGAGAGTTCCTCCCAGCCTCCTCGTTCTGAGGTGCTGTCACAGAGGCTATCGACTGGTCCTCAGCTACGGACGTAGCAAAGGATGACAATTTGTCATATTCTGTGATGGATGTTGCAGAGGAGATGTGCTCTTCTTCTGCAAGAGGAGCAGCAATGATGGCAGGGTAATGTGCAAGCTCATGCTCGTGACCCCCCAGGAAGGCTTTAGGTTTGACATCAGACAGGGCGGAGAACTTCATCTCTTTCATACCATGCATGGAGTCAAAGGTACCAGGGACGTCAGGGACAGAGACGTCATAGGACCCCACATCATAACGCAGCTGTGGGATCCTATCATCTGGTTCTTCATGAATCTCCTCATCAGAGATGGTCTGTTCAGTTTCGGAGTAGCCGGGGATGGTCTCGTCTTGGATTAAGGAGAATTGCTCCGAGACGGAGGCTGTTACTTGTCCAGATAGGGCTGTGGTTGATAAAGGTTTTGTCTCAGTTGGCTTGGTGTCCCAATCCTTGACAGATTTTCCCTTTTTCGCCTCTTCTGTTTTATATTTGAGGACCTCATCATCTTCTGTTCCTTCAAGGTCTGCTTTTTCAATGACATCACCCTCCTCCTCTGAGCTGTCACTCTTCTTTGATCTGTCTCTTGAGCTGTCATATTTGTCATATTTCCCGATTTTGTCCTCTTCAAACTTCTTGGCATACCCATTGCCTGCTTCCTTCTTCTCAGTCGCTTTAATCTGTACTGATGTGCCCTTGTCCTTGTTGTCTTCATCTTTGTTGACAGGGGATTTGGGTGAAGCAGATTTGATCTCAGTGTGTGGGGATGTGACTTTATCTTCAGTAAAAACTAAGGAAGGAACTTTAGTATCTCCGTACATTGAGTGCCCAAACATCACATCATTCTGGATCGGCTCAGACTTGACTTTGGACCGCACTTCCTTTTTCAGAGCCTCAAAGTCCTCAGTGAGGTCCTCTGGGGAAGACACAATAGACCTGTCAGCCAAAGCTGCTGCTGCGATCTCGTCAGGAATGTTTTTTGGGACTGGCTTTTTCTCATTAGCTTTCTCTTTAACTGCTTTATTTTTGTCTGTCTTTGGCTTAACCTGAGTCTTCGCCTTATGCAGAGTTTTTCTCACTTCAGGGGTGAGTGGCTTTAGGTCAGGTTTAGTGATTTTTCTCAGCTCTGGTTTACTTGGGTCCTTCTTTTTGTCTTCCTTGAATTTGCTTTCTTTTTTGACTTCCTTTTTATTTTCATCTTTCTTTACTTCACGTTTCTCCTTCTTAACTTCCTTTTTCTCTTTGTCTTTTTTTTCATCCATCTTGGAAGCTTTCTCGTTCTTTGACGTTTTTTCCTTTGATACTTTCTTTTTCTCCAACTTGCCTGCAACAGGAGCAAACTCACTGTTTTTCTGTTGTTTGGTGGCTTTTAGACTTGGACTTTTGGGTTTCTTCTCTTCTGTCTTTTCCACTTTATTCTCTGTATTAATGTCACTCTTGGACTCTTCCTCCTGCCCACTGGCTTCTTTCTTTGTGGTTTTAGAGTGTGGTTTCGGTGAAGACTTGAGACTTTCCTTGCTGTCAGTTCTTGATCTCATTTTGGTCTGTTTGATGATAGGAGGAGGTGCACCTGATGATATATCTTTTTGGGTAGCTACTGGGTATCGCAGGAAGTCCAGGTGTTTCAGTTTTTCAAGGCCTTCAAAGATTTTATTCTGCGGTGCATTTCCAGGGAAGAGCACCCTGACTATCTTTTCTGTTGGACGGTGAGGAATCCAAACAATGAGAGCGGTAACTGATGTCAAATACGGGACAGATATTT